AATGATCTCAGCCGCTTTGATATCACCGATGTAGCTCAGATAATTTGATGACTCTTGGAACGTATGATTTGAGATGCAATAAGGTCAATGCAGATTTATAATCATGAAAATAGGTTAGTGTAAGATCAGAGAAGTAGTTTCAGTGACATAGTTAACTTTTCTATTGACATCTTAACGTATTGAAGTTCATCCAACAGTCAGTTCAGGGTCCAAAGATATTTCACTGGATTTTGTTCATGCAATCTGACATTTTATTACGAAGTCTCCTAGCATACCAAGGCACCAAAAGCCTTCCTAAACTACGAAACGAGACTCGACGCTACTCTAGCACGAATTGCTTTGATTATAGCTTAGCTATCTGAGCAGATGCGAGTACTAGACTCAACATTGCGTAAAAATTCCACATATTTAAACTCTGAAAATTTTTGGTGTGAACTGCACGAAACTTTTTTGTCTCTTGGCAATGTGGACATAAGTTTTCATTTTGTTTTGTTCCTTGTTTTTGTTTTGTTGCTTTGATGTGGACCCAGCATATCTAACCTTTTCTCTAAAGTTGATATAGACCATTTTCGATCCGAAAAAACAGTATAATAAAACGAAAATAGGAATGCTGCGGTTTTAACGATGACGTATCGGTCATCTATAAGGCACATAAAGACATCTGACGACATAAGGCTTCTCTTAAGCCCAAGCTCTGCAATTTTTCCATAGGAAATTTGTGAGGGTGTGTGCATGCTTGCGCTACGAGCGATGAAGAAAGAATTGTTTGTTTACATAACCGGACATTTATGCGACGCATGAACCGTGACGAATGTTAAGTTCATACTCACATACGAACCATCAAGGTTTAACTAGCTTGACTCAGCCTAATTGATATACACTTGGTACAGAATAGCTGGGGAGCCGAATTGGATAGTTAGAAAAATGTTTATTCGGTTTTAATACTTATACGTCAGCTCTCTTACGCTACGTTTTTGTATCTGTCCAAGTGATTCTCAACTCGTCGCCAATATACAACTAAAATCAGAACTGAAAAGAGCACAACTATCAATCAGAAGCTTCTTCATAGTCGGCCTCATAGAATAAACCGAATCGTGATCGTGTGAACTGGGCACGACACTCGCTGGTTCACTTTTCACTCCCCAGTCAAGAAAAGATTTGCGAAAAATAGATCGAAAGCGTGTTCGGCTATCGTCCTTTTGCCCCGTGAGTGAGTGAGCTTTTGAATCGAGACCATCCATAGGCCGAGGACCGCAAAAAAAAATTCGTCAAGTAGATTGAACCTATACTTCCTACGCCTTCGTAGGGGGTATCAAAGAAAAAGGGTGGGTCAAATCGTTTCAAAAGGCGAAATTAAATCAAGATTAGGTACGATCAATCTTCGACCTCTGTATATCAACCAATAAGCAAATTTATCTTATTTGGGTTTCCATGGCAGATGTACGGAAAATATGTGTGACTTATTATGTCTAACTGAGATCAGCAGCTTCTTAAAATAGGTATTTAACTGACACCAAATATGCAATAATTTACAACAATTTACCGCATACAGCTTCCAACCTATAATTTGCATCCCACTCCAAACAATGTCTGAAAATGAGCAGGAATCTCTGAACCGTTGTAACAGTATGGCTCCAGCGATTTTGTTTCCGCCGCGATGAAAGTATTAAAATCGCAAGAATGTTCGAACTTCGGTTTACACGACGTGTTTTGTTGCTTAAAGATGTCTGCATCACACAAGTCCGAGTTTTTTATTTATGTCGGTTTGTCAGTGCGTATCTGTTGTATATCAATGCGTCATTAATACTGAGCCAATCTACTTGACTAAATATTCAGTAAACCATCATAGACGGAGTATCACAAATCAAAGGTTAGACGAAATGGATGGTACATTTAAAAAAGTCATTTACAAAAGCATCGCAGAACGCTAAAGTGGTACGTACTCCTAATATCCAAATATTGTTAAAATATATAAATATTTCTCCTGAAGCAGTGTGTCAGTGACGACACCACCGCAGACGAGTTGGAGTTTGTTACCCATTGCACAGTCGGCAGTGTCCTCCACGACGATGCAGCATATCATTTAATTTTCCCGTTGTTACCGGGATCAGAAAACTCTTAATGATACAACGTCTCTGACTAGTACTAGTTTCAACCCCTCATCCAAAATTTCCGAAAATTATCAGGAGACTCTGAAAGGTAAAAGAATGAATTTTATACGATTTTTATTAATTTTTCCGTGTTTTTGTCCCCTAGCTCCGCCACCTCTATACATATTTTCAAAAACTACAAAGCTTGTGTGAAAATTTCATCAAAATCCTAGCGGTCCTTCTCAAGTGCCGGCTGTTATAAAATTAGCGGACAGACTGATAAACCGTCGGAAATGAGTGACATGGTTTTTAGTAATGTACATGTCATATAAGTTCCAAAAAACATAGTACCTCAATTTCGATTTGGGAGAAAAAAGCAGTGGTTTGCTTACGACAGAGAGTGTCGGCGGTTAAAAAAAATGAAGTACAAGGGGGGGTCTTCATGCTTTCAACACCTTCGATACACCAAATATACATTGCTCGATTAATTGGAATACTTTATGAACCATGAACCTGAGCGCCTAGAAGGGCTCACTGCATTGTGGAATATCCCAAAATAATGAGAAAAACAAAATGAGTAATAATGAGTAGCCGATAAAAACATGAGTAAAAATGTAGACACACTGGTTGAGACTGATAGAATATCAGTTCGAAATCGTCTATCCTGGTTGAAAGGAAACATGATTATGATAGAAATAGATCTAAAATATGTTTCGACTCATCTTCCAGCAATATTATTCTATTTTATTGGGCTGCGCCTCCTAAATATTTAGAATAATCAGCCGTTACTAATGACCTGAAAACACGCCACAAGTATATGTACCTAATTAAAAAACATTCCCGCTACTGGCTGCGCTACTGGTTATTAACGTCACGTAATAATAAAATTCCATCTACTTATTAAGTTATAAATCGCTCAAGTTTATTATGTCATAAGAAGTGACAATACATTATAATGGGTGTAAGATTTAGATTCATATTTGAAAACGTTTACAAAGAGATTTTTTATTTTTCCCAAACCTGTGTAAAAGGACTAAGAAGTATTCTATTTTAAGAGTAAAAAATATCAATGTACCTTTTCTGAAGTCCGATTAAATCTGTTACGAGTTCTAGCTGACGTCAAGTCCAAGTCGCCAGCTACCACGTCAGTGTTTAGGCTTAGCCCTATATTGATAATTTTTCAATATATTTCAACCTCTTCTAGTTGCGATACCGCTTTTTTCTAGTATTATACCGTTCTTCAAGTTTTATGACATAATATGCTTTCCCATAAAGTATTTACGTATTGTTTGTGGAACCGCTAATTACCAAGAAAATCGCCGTGAGAACCGTTAAGGATACGGAACAATAATGCGTTTCTTCTAAGTGGTTACCTCTAAGGGACACTAAATACCTACCGGTTTATTCTATTCTTTATGCCACCATAGTGCGATTACCATTAGGAATTACCTACATTACAAATTACTAACTAATCTCGACAAATAAAAGGAGCTTCTAGAATTATGACAAATGTACTCCTATTACTCTTTCTGCTTCAGTTAGAAACATTGTGAAAAACTTATGAAAACTGTAAAGGGTGTTTTTTTTAGAGGTATAGAACTTTAAATTGCAATAAAACAACGATGGATTATTCGATTGACATGATTTTTTTTTATTCGAAAGATAATCTTGTGGCATTACATTTTAAATATGATTTCTGGCATATGACTGCCACGGCTGGCTCGGATGTAGTCCAATCTGGAAGTCCAATTCTCGATGACTTTTTCCAACATTTGTAGCCATATATCGGCAATAACATGGCGAATGTTGTCTTCCAATTGGTCAAGCGTTTGTGGCCTATCCGCATAGACCAATGGCTTTACATAGCCCCACAGAAAATAGTCTAGCGGTGTTAAATCACAAGATTTTGGAGGCCAATTCACAGGTCCAAAACGTGAAATTAGGCGGTCACCAAACGTGTCTTTCAATAAATCGATTGTAGCACGAGCTGTGTGACATGTCGCGCCGTCTTGTTGGAACCGCAGCTCCTGGGCATCATGATTGTTCAATTCAGGAATGAAAAAGTTTCTAATCATGGCTCTATACCGATCACCATTGACTGTAAAGTTCTGGCCATCATAGTTTTTGAAGAAGTACGGACCAATGATTCCACCAGCCCATAAAGCGCACCAAACAGTCAGTTTTTCTGGAAGTAACGGTGATTGGACATAGACTTGAGGATTAGCTTCACTCCAAATGCGGCAGTTTTGTTTGTTGACGTAGCCATTCAACCAGAAGTGCGCTTCATCGCTAAACAAAATTCGCTTATGAAAATCGGGAACCACGGCAATCTCGTTTTGGGTCCATTCAACGAATCTACGCCTTGCTTGATGTACGTTTGGCTTCATTTCTTGCACGAGTTGAATTTTGTAAGCACGCAAACCAAGATCCTTCCGCAAAATCTTCCATAAAGTGGATGGACACAGATCCAATTCCTGTGCTCGATGGCGGATGGACTCATTCGGGTCTTCCTCAATGCTACGCTCTACAGTAGCAATAGCTTCTTCTGTAAGCACCGTATGGCGTCTCTGGGGATGGGAGTTATCAATTAGAGTAAACGTGGTGCGATAACGTTCCATGGTTAATCGAATGTACTGCTCTGATGGACGATTTTGTTCCGCACAGAACCATTATTTTCAAATCAAACTGCACAATTTGCAAGCGTTGTTCAGGCGTGAGTCTATTCATGATGAATTGCCAAACCAAACTGAGAATAAATCACTTGACAGCTGTCAAATCGGTCGCCATCTTCAAAAGTAATGCCAACTTAAAGTTCTATACCTCGAAAAAAACACCCGTTGCTTCTGTAGTTTTATATGTTAGGTTTCATGAATAAGGAAACTTTCAGGTACAATAAAAAATACAGTTTTCCTCGGCAAAAGCCCTTTTATAAAAAAACGTACACAATAAAAGGCAATGATTATTTATTAAAATATTTTCATTGGGACGATAACATTCCGATCTTAAATTACTAAACAATACGATATGTAAAATGAAGAAGCGCCAAGTAAGGTATTTCGAAAAGTAACCAAAAAATACTACCTTGGATGCATCATGTGTGAAAAAACACTGCACCAAAAGTGACCAAAAGCAAATTATTATATATTTGTAACGTATATAACTGGATGCTTATAGTCTTCGAAGCGCTAACGAAGATTCAGAAATATTCACCATCTTTAATTTACTGATCTATCCAAAGGTTTAATTTGTTATAGGGTAAATGCAACACGGATGTGACCCTGTAAATTGTATGTGAATAGGGTTGTGCATTCTCTTGGAGAACCTGAAGATAACAGCTATATTTCGGCGTGTAAAAAGGGATCTTAAAGTTCCTAACACAAAAATGAATTTAGAAATATACTTTGAAAAGAGTGTCTGCTACTGTCTCCTAGATGGCGCTAGGACCTAATTAATAGATGATTATCTTCAAGTAGAATACTCTAATCAATGATGATCAGTGGTGGATCCAGGGGCTGTCTTGAAGGTCCAACCTGCCCTGGAATCCGAGTTAAAAAAATGAAAGTCCCCTCCGCTCTTCAATTTTCAATTGCCGATACCCCCGCTCCCCCGAGACGGGTATCTTCCTGGACATAAATCCTGAGCCCCCCCCTCCAAAAAATTTCAAATTTATCAGATGTACCCATCCCCAACATATTTTTTAAAACCGCGCCTGATGATGGTATTAAGTGGATAATGCCATCCACGTCAATATAAAATCATTGTTACCACGACAATCTAAATCTCAAAACAGTCGTTACGTGTTCTAACGCCCGAAAAGTACTTACTATAGTGTATTCAAATTTCATTTCGTCAAAGCAAACACCAGCGCAGGACGTTCAAATTCGCGCGATTGGGCAGCGGGCCATAAGTTCCTGGGCAGGCAGAGGCAAGCAGGTGCTCATATTTCAGGAGACCAAAGTACTAATGTTTAATGAGTTTTACGAACAAAATATAAAAATATTCACACTGCTATTTCTAATTCCAAGGTCAACTTTCAGTATGGTCAACAAAAAGAAACTTTACGTGGATGCAAAAACTCTCGAAGTCGAGGCACAGTAAGATGATACTTTTCGAAAAACAAAAACTCAATGACATCTTAAAAATTTCTATTTCTTTCACGTTTATTATGTATAGCAGTCTCCAACGGTTGCGCTTTTAATGCATAATGCCGTTGCAACTCTTCTATCTCTTTCTCCATCGCGGTATCCAGCAAATCAAACCTTTCTTTCAACTCTTCGTACGACATATCCTTCAGGAAACTAAAATTACAGTCTACTGGCCGAATACGCTCTAATTTGACGTCCAATGGCTCAGAGTACCCGTGCTGAGACACCCTTGGTGGTAAATTGTGATCAGAAGATGTTGAAGCTCCTAGCTCACCAAATCCATGTCCATTCTTGGCTTCAATTTCAGACTGTGCTTGGTCAAAGTGTTCCAAAAACAACGGTTTGTACTTCTTGGTCTCCTGTGACTTCATCGTCTTTTCTCCATCTTCGTCATCACTGTTTATCACTACCATTGTCCCTAGATCAGACTGGACAGTGACCATGGTACCAGTTTGACTTGGAGTCTTACTCGGTACCAACGTTGCCTCAGATTCATTCTGCTCGGGAATGATAGGTACTATCGGCATCCTATTATATTTCTGAGTCTTCCTGATCTCGCACGCCTCCGCGATCATCTGAGTGAGAGCATTGGGTCCCTTGGATTTTTGCAGGAAGACGTGTTGAATCAAATCCGTAGCAGAGGCTCTATCGCAAGGGTTCTTCACCAAACAAACGCTAACGAAATCAATGAACTCGGCACTCCAACGATCTGGATCTCTGAACGATGGAGGAGGTTTGGTTGGGATCATAAACACAGCCCTCATTGGATGGATGTCCGCATAAGGAGGCTTTCCTTCAGCCATCTCAAGAGCAGTGATTCCAATACTCCAAATGTCAGCCACGCAGTCGTAACCTATCTCAAGGATAATCTCTGGTGCCATCCAGAATGGAGAACCAATCACAGTGTTTCTTTTCGAGATGGTCTCAGTAAGTTGACCTGCTACTCCAAAATCAGCCAGCTTGGCATGTCCATCAGTGTTCAACAGAATATTTCCCGCTTTTATATCTCTGTGGATCTTCCTATTTGAGTGCAAGTACTCCAAACCCTTGAGCGCATCGGATAGAATAGTGGCAATCTCACATTCTGTCAACGTCTTTTTTCTCAATCGTATGATATCAGAAACAGAGCCGGCACCACAATATTCCATGATGATCCATAGATCCGTGTTCTTGAAATAACTGCCGTAGTATTTGACGACGTAAGGGCTATCACACTGTTGCATTATGGAGATTTCTTTGATAATTTCGTGAAGGTCGGTATCTAAAGGCACTTGTTTGATTGCAACTACATTTCCTGATTCCTTGTGTAGTGCTTTGTATACACTGCCGTAAGAACCCTCGCCAAGTTTGCAAATTATATCGAAAACCTCGTCGGGTTGTCTTGTCAAACTTTCTTCGGACAGCATTTTCAAGTTGCTATTAGAAGACATTGTTTAGAAAAAAACTGAGTATCTCATAACTGCATTATAGGCACTATTTCTGGAGTTAACAATTAGTGATGCGGTTTTATTTTCTTCTATTTGCTCAACCATTTTTAACAGATGGTATTGCTTCTTCCAATAATACTGATCATGGTCATATTCCTGGCTTCACCTTGTGTGATATGTTCTTCAGGCTTCCGTTCTCAGGTTGTCAGCACCTAGAAAGATGAAGCTGAAGACAATCATTCACAAGTAGCTCACGTATGGCGTGCGGTTACAAAAAATTCCTCCCTTCACCATGATTCTAGTTTTAATAGCTATCTTCTCATTTTTTACTCGAGTTTCAGAAGACCTTAGACCGCAACTTTGACTCACTAGTGCTCATTATAAACTGTAGCAGTCAATCTCCAAGCAGCAACGATTAAAATTTGATTTTTGTCACTTTAGGGTCCAGGGTTTAAAACGTTTTGCAGAACACATAGTTCGACAGTGTTTGATGTTTTTCCTAATTTTCCTTCTTTCGCAAGTGATACAAAGCAATTGTATATGGCGAAACAAGAATTAAATTCAGATGGAACACTCGAACATGGTTTTTACAACGTGATATAAAAGACGGAAACGAAAATACAAACTTTGTCGCGTATATGAATCTTTTGCCGCTAAGGCATTTCAATAACTATAAATAACGTTTTCACTGTTGTGTATAGTATGTAGGCTATTTCTGTGGAGGATTTTCTTTCGCCGAGGCACATATTTTATAGTCATCTAAATATAGATGCGGAATGTAGAAGAAAAAAATCAAGAAACGTGACGACAAAGTAAGCTAGATCTACATATACACACGGTTATCAGAGTTCCTACTAGATAACTTGTTTGTTTATCTGTTTCCATAGAGTGATTAAATACCAGATAAGCAACCAAAATGATAAGTATTTCAATTAATTACAGATTATGATGCAAACAAAGTTAATACTGCCACTCAATGTAACTTGAATGATTAATAAATTAACGGGGACCCGATTTTAAACTGGGCGTGGTTCAGGTAACAGATGAATTACAATAAAACTGAACCTAGAAAAATCGATAAGGTATCAGACAGAAATTGGTAAAAAACCGTTTACCCAATATTTTTTCAGTTTTTTTTTAAGGCTAAAGTGTATATTTCTTCCAAACACGGATTTTTCACGTTTTACATCGTTCTTAGCAATTTCATACCACAACAATTCAGGAACACGTATCGTATTTAGTAACAATTAGAACACACGTTAAATTCGCAGTAATTCTTACTTAATTCAGTCAGTATGACCAAAGGAATTGGAGGACAATGTAAGATAAAAAATAATTACCGGGAAGTTCTTTCTTAGTTCTTTTGGACTACTTTTCGCATTCTGATCTAACAAATTCGTCAAGAATGAATGTGTTCAGAGCCTCAATTTCCTGCTAGATCCTTGAAAATTCATTCAAATTAGGTATGTATATTATATATGTAATATACATATTTAAATAAGAAATTCTACTGAAATGAAAGTGAATTATTGTGTTGAAAAAAGATGCAAGTTACGATACTTTGTGGCGAAACAGAAAAAAAATAAGCCGAACTATAAATAAAACATGATTGTAACTTCACGGTCTGATGGAAAAATAATTCATATTTACACGTTTTCTTTCAAGTTTCTATAAACTAGTGCAAACATGATTTACAGCTCTCGAGACAACTATAGCAATGCAGCAAAACATAAATATGCTTAAATGTGCGAAGGTATGAGGCAATCTAATGCGATTTGATGAAATCCAATGAGATTTTAAGACAATCCACTGAAATAGGAATTCCATGAAAATATATTTAAGCAACTGTGGACAAAAAAACGTAGAGTGACTCAATATTTCTCACTTATCCACATATTCGACCAAATGACGACCGTTTTTCTGTTCATGTTCATGAAATGATCATGAAGTTGAGAAAGGTGCAAGAACACAGAAATTTCTCTGAATGCACCCAAAACAATCAGGGATTCTAACTAAAATGAATGTAAAATATTATGATGTCGATATTTTTGTATGTCACATTGAGAAAATGATAGAAATCCTGGTAACACTGATATCTGATTAAGAGCCAAAATGTCCCCACTATACAAAATTCATTTTTTACATGCAGTCATTCAAAAGAATGATGGATGTGCCTTAAGCAATTTGACAGCAGGACAGGGGCAGAGGTCATCTGTATGCCATAATTTCTCTAGATGCTTTACTGCTAGATAAATTAGCTAGCTGAACACAAAAAAACAAACTGCATTATTCTCTAGACACATACATACATGTACATGTATAATTTTAGCAAACATCTACGGTCATTCAGGAAATAATATGTGACACTACTCAAGCACTGAATATGGCCCTGATCACTCTTGTATCTAGAGCCTCATGCCCGGTTGTTTACATGTAGAAATACCAAGACAACTTATTCCTGAGCATTTTCCTCATACAAATGCAAAATATTGGGAACATGCAGTGGCATACCCACTGAAAGGCGGATCAGAAACCCCTGATGTTTTTGCTAGTAGGATATGAAAAATATCAGGTCAAAACATTTTATATAGTAGAATCACTTGGAGGTGAAACAGTTTCTTCCTATATTCGTAAGTAGCTGTATCATTAGTAGCAGTAAAAGTAGGGAACCCTTACAATTAGAACGACGGCTTTGTCAAGACTGTCCGTCGGCGAAGAAAACATCTGGTTTATCGAAAGGTTTAAACGCTCGAACATTTTTCAAGTAAAATAAAATCAAGTGCCTCCGGCGTAAATTAACTGTACTATATCGGGGATTATGGTTCCGAAGCGCGATGATGGGAGAATGGCTGATGAGATCATCTTCAATAATACCGTACGTAGAGAGGGCAACACTGCATTATACTAAATAAGTAATAAGAGACGGTAATTGTAAATGTCAAACGATAATCAAGAATAAATTTAGTGTAGACCCACCATTATCTCTTCAACATTTAGAATACCGAACAGACGGCTTTTAAAATGTAAATTATGTAGGTCGTTGTCCGTTTCATACATTTTCATGAACCGGTGGTCTATTTAAAAGCTATGAACTTCAAAATAAATCGTTCATTACATAAACATTTAAATCAACACCGCCAGAGATGAGCATGTGTATCCAATCCCAATACTTGTAATGGGCGGTACACAAATTATGCATTACATCAATAACTATCATACTGATTGGAATTCAAACGATTAGGAGTCTTGTATTCAAATTTATATCGAGTCCTGAACAATACAATCATCATGCTGAGAAAAAAACTGGTACAGGTGAACTGACACACCCCAGATAGTCGGTTTTGGTCGGTTTCTCGGACGTCACTCATACAATCCACTATTTGAAACATTCAAAATACGGCTAAAAGATGAACTTACCGTTGTGAAATCAACCTAAAATGTGCTCCGGTCGGTCAAAGAGGCCGATTTCTCAGTCAGCGGGTCCTTAGCACTGGATTACGAAGAGTATTGTCTATCGCAGCATAAGCCTCATGTGCACAGTTTCACACAACATAGAAGTAACTTGAGCGATGTTATTAATGAAATATAGAACCGCACTGTTGTTAATATCCTTCACAAAACGGATAATTCAATTTCACGTACCCTCGGCAGTTTTCGTCCACACACAAAATCCAACTCAAACTCCAACAACTCTAGGTTCTAGGGCTCAAGCGCGTTCTGCTCAAGTGCGCTAGCGCACGTAACATGGCGTGTGCGCTGTTGCCAAGTCGGAAGAAAAAAATTCCTGTTTTTTTCCAGATAATCCTCCGCCAAAAATCTCTATTATTGCACGTTTTTGGGACCTAACAGGAGAATTCCTAGGAAACTTTGCTGTAAAATATATAAAACAGCTGAATTTTGATGCACAGGGTCGAATAATAAGTTTCTCACTGCAGTAAGTGAAATTATTACCATGCAAAAATTAACAACTTACAGCTGTCTAGAAAATATAACGGGAATATCCAGTCACCAATTGTTGCTATACGGTCTTCTGAGCATCTGAACTCTCAAAAATAACTCTTGCAAAAACCAAACATCAAAATCGTTTTTTTAATACTGAATGCCATCCTCTTATTAGAGTATAGTCCAGTGCAGGTAGACAATCCATTACTAAAAACTCGTCTTCGTTTACTCTGGCGCAACTATGGTTTGAATTAAAACTTGGATGCAATTGATTCCGTATCTGTAGTCAATTTGACCATGAAATCAGTCCCAAGAAAATCCAGAAAAATTCACCATTTTTTGCCAGCTAAAGTTTACCAAGGTGAAATTAGATATCTTTTCAGTTAACTTAGCCACAGAAAATATTTACATTTTTCCCACACCAAATCTTTTGGACGAGAATCTCATTATTGCTACTGTTAATTATTCTAGATGTCAGTCTGAAATTAAATGCTCGTTACAGTCGTTTGAGAGTAGATTTCAGTACATTAGCAGTAAAAAAACAAAATATACAACTTTGATCAATCCTTTCATAATCAGTTTATCTGAAATAATGACTTATTCTGCCAATATTCGGGTGGAACTAACTGAATTGCAAAATTATTATGCGTGAAACCAAAAAATTCTTCAGAGTATTTTGTAGATTTCTGGAAATTTATACCAAAAGAAGACTTCCTGGCAATAACTAACTTAGCGTTACAGTTCATAAGTAGTTTCGGGTTGTGAAAACCTTTTTCTAATATTTAATATGTAAAAAGCAAATACCGCATATCTTGAACTGAGCAATATATTTGTAACTATTACTATCGAAATGGGATTTGACGCCTGAAATTATTACAACGGAAACAATGTTAGAAAACGCATTGATTGTATCTACTTGTATATTTGGATTTGAGATATTTTTGTTCAATTTTGTTCCGTTATCCTCGTGGCAATGTAACAAGCAGGCGTCCTGGACAGAGAAAAATTGTATTTTGTAATCGATGATGGGTTTTTCTGCTTAACGAGTTTCCTAGAAGCTTATTTATATTGGGCATGGCCCTCGAGAGGGGTGGGATAGGGGGTGCTCCCGACTAAAGATCGGCTCGTTCCATTTAGCATGGTTTTGTGTCCCCCCAGACAAGTTGCTACCCCCGCTCTTCAAACCCACACCGCAGGTACACTTTCACAAATAGATGTCTCTTACCGATGATTGCCCCCTGAAAAAAAAACCTGGGTCCTATGAATCAGAGTAGAAGGAAATACTATAATTAGGATATATCTCAGTATAATATCAAATGGTTATAATAATTATCGATACCCATTATCTGGCGATTTCACCTAGAAACACAGGTAGCTAAAGGGTCAAAAACATGGTAATTAGGGTATGGAAATTTTAATACTGTTGGAAACCCAATATCTACGGATCTTATGAGAACAGGTAGCAGATCTAGGTATAAGAGTCACCCCAAGGTGTGGTGGGGGCTCCTACTATTAAATTGGTTAAACTATTTTAGAGTTCGATACGGCTGATCAAGGCCATCGCCAGACCTCAGCTCGCTTACGCCTCCGCGGTCTGGGGGTACGCTGCCCCCAGCTACCGCAAGCGACTTGCTGCTCTAGAGATGAAGCTACTCCAGATCGCCACCAATGCAACCTTGCGTAGAGACCTGCATTGGGATACCATCCACGAGTACATGAGGAAAAAAGCGGAGAAGACCTTCGAGAAAGCTCAGGACCACCCGAACGAGCAGCTACGATTCCTCATGGACTACGATCCGGACGAGAGGCCTCGCAACCGCAGAACCAGGTACCCCAGACCAAGGTCCCAGTTGGCACCCGCTAACTGGAACCTTGACTAGGAGACTAGGAGAACTGCGGCTGCTCCCCCCCCCCTCACCCCACGGCGTGGATGCAGAGGACCAGGAACCACCGGGACCAGGACCCACCGGGACCAGGACCAACCAGGACCAGGACCCGCCACGACCAGGACCCACCAGGACCAGGACCCTTCAGGACCAGGACCAGGAACAACATATTGGTAAGAGGACTTGAAACTCTTGATTTTTCGAAAACAAGAGTTTCAAGAGAAACTAGCAGACCCTCTATCGATGATCGATTAACGACATCGATAGAATGTGCGAGGTAAAGGGAACCAACCCGGCGTTCCCAGAGACTGAAACACATGAGGAGACGTTGTAGCAGACCGCAGGTCACGCACAACACATGGCCTACCGAGACGCTGATGAGTCGGGCCACGCGGAGGTTTAGGGTTTAGTGGGTATTAGGTGATCTCCTCAAGACCCTGGAGCCCCACACACGTCGTAGCTCGTGCTATGGTATGGTGCGTAAATGCATTCCCCCCTCGTTAAAAAAAAAAAAAAAAAAAAATAGAGTTCGACATCCGTCCACTTTGTTTGCTGACCCTCTATCGATGATCGCTTAACGACATCGATAGAATGTGCGAGGTAAAGGGAACCAACCCGGCGTTCCCAGAGACTGAAACACATGAGGAGACGTTGTAGCAGACCGCAGGTCACGCACAACACATGGCCTACCGAGACGCTGATGAGTCGGGCCACGCGGAGGTTTAGGGTTTAGTGGGTATTAGGTGATCTCTTCAAGACCCTGGAGCCCCACACACGTCGTAGCTCGTGCTATGGTATGGTGCGTAAATGCATTCCCCCCTCGTTAAAAAAAAAAAAAAAAAAAAACACTTTGTTTGTGATTTTTGTGCAGAAAGATGGTATTCGTTCAGCTTTGAGTTAACTTTGTGAATTTTGTTAACGTAAGTTATAAGTAATTACGCAATCACTTTCAGTTTTGCCTTTTTTTTTTGGCGTACTGAATTTATACATACTGATACTAGAATTTATATTTCCATTACCGTTCAAAGTTAAGCTAAAGCATTTATAGAAGTATTCTTATGGTATAGTCTCTAATGACGAAGTTAATTTTGTAATTTAAAATTTTATTATATGAAAAGCCTTGGAGCATTCTGCCTTGCCGAAACTTATTTCATAAATAATGTCAAATAATTCGCTTTCAAAAATTTCAACAATTGGCCTCCTGGTCCAGAGACCAGTTTTGCATTGGAACTTACATCAACCTAACGTTAAAATTTTCCATTTAAAAACATCAATCTCACTTTGACTAATTTAAAAAATCTAAAGAATAAAAGACGCGTTTCTGCTGTTTTAACAAAAAAGCTATTTTTAGCGTCCAATAACATTTTTATTAATTCATGCAGAGAGATGTTCAGATATATCGACATATCGACCATATTTTGGCGCTGAAGTCACCAACGCAGAAACGGATTATAGTAGAAAGTGAAAATCTACATATCCGCTAAACATAAATAACGATCCTTTGCCAAATGTAACTGTAAGCAAAAATCTGGGTTTATGGCTGAATAATGAATTAAAATTTGACCATCATAGAAAGGAGTTATATTCAAACTCTTATGCGTATGGTATCCTCATAGACATTTACTAAATAGTAATTCAAAATTACAGCTGTACGACTCACTAATATTTTCAAGGATATCTTATTGTGACGCTGTATATGAACCCGCTTTGTTGGAAAGTGATAAGATCAAGCTGCAGCGACTTCAAAATTCTTGTTTCCGTTATTGTCTTATAGTATTAGAACATATGACAATATAAGTCATGTTCCTAAGGAAAACGAATTCTCAATCTAGAATATCTTAGAATCAATCTATCTATCTTTAGTCCATAAGAATTTATTGAATAACCCTGAGTACTTTCTCAATAAACTAAAAAAATTTAGGAGCACTTTGCATCATTATACAAGTAGAGCTTTTCATACACTGCAGCCAATCATTAGAACAATCTACCAACTGAGAATTGCAATTACAGTCTAATGAATTTGAAGGAAAAAAAATAAAAGAAATGCTTTTTCTATTCACGTCTACCTGATAATAATGAGATCATTTTTTAAAGATTAAGCTAGAATAAGACTGACTACTATTTTTCGAGATATATCATATGGGTATTTCGATTTTAAGTTAAATGACTTGAAATTCAAACATGTATACTTGTATTGATATAAACACTATTAGGGAATTTTCACAAATTACATTTATTACTTTATTATTGTAGGACTCTATTCTTATTCATTATTGTCAATTTAATTTTTGGCTGAGTTGAAACATGCCTTAAGGTAACACTCCGCCATTTCGATTCTTTTGTTTGAAATTTTTACTCAAAATAAAAATTTATTTGTAAAATAATCGAATAAAGGCATGTTATTATTATTATATGTATAAGACTTCTGCTCACTATAGCTATATATCCCTTTAAAGAATTGCTGGGTCCTACCTAGTTCATGTAAGGGCGGGTTTGGGAACATAAACGTCTCTGCTATCAATTAAATTTCTAATCTAATGTAACTGGCCTATAATGACTTATTGATTTGGGGAGAATGCATGTTTTTGGTTAATTTATAAGAAATCAACCGAACTAAGCAAATTAGCAAATTAATAACTATTATACCTATAAGAGATAGTCTTTGGAATCGCCGTATTGTGGTTAAAAATGAACAAAAATCAATTTTTTCTCTTACTTTCAGAAATAAAATTAACCTGGCAATGCCGAATAGGCGTTCTCGGGGATCAAAGCCAAGAATGACAGGCAATACGCGCCTTTATTTACAAAGTGTTTAGGGAATAGAATCCTTTGCATAATTTAGATTAGAAACACTAGCGCTTTGCACGGTAAAAAAGAATAACTAAATCGACATTTTACGACGTTTTTCTGTATCGATCTGACAGTTGTCAAAATAAAAGTATTAAAATTGCTTCAAAATTAAGGTAAAAACCATCAAAAAATACATTCTTTTCGATTTTTTCCTCCTATTTTTTTCAGTGCTTTTGCTGATATAATAAAAATACCGTTTTTTCAGATTAGATGGGAAGGAGAAGCAGGTCAAAATCCCCTTTTGGAGGTGTCGGGCGAAGACGGGATAGAGAAAGGAACAAAGACAGGGACAGAGAAAGGGACCGGGAACGAGACAGAGATAGGGAACGTCACAGAAGGAAAAGATCTAGGGATAGGTCGCGAGATAGGGAAAGGCGACGTCACTCGCCCGACAGGGACGGTAGAAGACGATTTTCACTTTCAAGGAGTCGATCACGTTCAAGATCGTTGGAGAAACGTTCTGGACACAACAGGGGGCTTCTAGCAGAACGACCAGTCGTCACAGCAGCCGATTTAGAAGGAAAAAGTGTCGAGGAGCAAGAAATGATGAAGCTTATGGGCTTCTGCAACTTTGACACTACAAAAGGTAAAAAAGTGGAAGGGAACGATTCTGGTGGAGTGCATGTTATATTGAAAAGAAAGTATAGACAATATATGAATCGTAAAGGTGGTTTTAACAGACCGCTGGACTTTGTAGCGTGATTTTTTTATACAATTTGAACAACCATTTACCTCAGAGCACACCTCATTTTTTCACCCCATAGTTTGTTGTAACGTCAAGTTATACCTCACACAGTATCAGGTTTAATTGGTTTTTGTCATATTTTACACATACTTGTTGAAATTTTATATATAACACATTGTTACGGGTTGTTCAGTTGGCATTAGTTTGTATGTATAGTTGTAAGGTCTTATTTCATATATTATTATATTTTTATGACAATAAATGACTTTAGAAAAATTATTTCATTTTAATTGTTTGCATAGTAGGGGTAACATCCTGATAATCATTCAGGCATATGGTTAAATACATGGCTTTTGGGTTTTCGGTGTTAATTAAGAAAAATAGCTTATTTTGTTTTCAGATTCCCTATGTCACAAGACCATATGATATATGACAAGGTCAGGTGATATCTTGATTCTAACACCTTCTATAGGTACCAGGGGAGAATGTTTGGCCATGGGGTGACATTCCATTCAAGGAGAGGATATTTTAAATGTGATACAAATACCTACCATTAGCTAAACAATTTCAACAGTTCTTTATTGAAAATAACAAGACTTCAGTTCTATTGGTATTGAAACAAGAGAATCATTCAGTTTGAGAGATTACATATCCGCAGGGTGACAGTTGTGGTTGGAAGCAAGGTATTTTCCTGATAATGGGTTGCAGTGTTGTTTTCATTGTTTATATTTTGTATTGTACAGAAAAAAGAAAAATCAGAAAAGTAAGAAGAGTAGAAAAAACAAATGAAATGAAAACTGCCAGGATAGTGACAAAAATGTACACTACCTCAAAAAATAATTAGATACATCAATTTTTGTATTGCTGTATGTGACTCATGACTTTTCTATTCTTGAATCATTATTTTTTTTGTTGATGTAGTTAAGTATGAACCAATGAAATTCAAAAAGATATACTTACCAGGGCAAAATATTTGAACCACTGACAAAAGGGTATCTGTCGACACTATGTGGGCATCAGATGTGGTTCTGGATGCACTAGGCCAAATCCTGATACACTATGATTTCTTTATTTGCTACATATTGATCAAGGTCAAATCGTGAACTTGTCACAATTCCATGAAAACATGAAATTTGATTTTGAGCCAGGTTAGGGTGGCATAATTTTCAGGAACCACTACTCATGTTTTTTTTATGCATTTATACATATTTTTAGTGACTGTCAGCTCTCTAAAATGTAAAATATGTAGTGCGTTAAAATTTTGTGTTGCTTCTCATTTTTAACCTGGCAAGGGGTGAGAAAAATAAAATACAATTTTGTACAAAATATATCTTTTACTCCAAAAAATATCTCAATGCCTTGGAACAGAATACAAAATAACCAAATTATTTTGATAACACAAAATTATTTCAAACATTTTGTGATGTAAGCAACACCTGAAATTCATAATATAGGTATGTGATGTTTCACCACAGTTTCTTTCAAAGCATACTCTCTTATATTAAACATGAACAGATAATTGGAAATGGAAGATTATAATTCTGTTCTAAAATGATAAAAATACACTTCAGATAAATAACAAACAACCATTTCTAGGTCTAATAAAAATGATACGAAAAACAAATTCGAATGAAAAAATATAAAATAATCATGTCCTACTTTTCTTAGAAGGAGGAGGTGGATTGTCATTGTCACTATCACTTTCCGCAATTTCTTCCTCTAAATTAGCACTCTCTTCCTCGTCATTTTCTTCATTCTGAGTAGAAGCTGTCCTGTCTCCAGGCTGCTCCTCAATTTGTTCCAGTACTTCTTGCAACTTCATGATTCTGAAGTCCCTCACCGTTCCTTGCCCAACATGCTTTGTCAGATCCACTTTTGTCTTATTTGACAGTTGGATGACACATCTGCTGAACTGTTCCATTTCATACACAGCCTTTGGAATCAGTCGAGTTTCTCTTAGGACCTTGCTTTTGAGTGCATCAGATTTTTTCTTTGATACCATTTTTTTGTTTTCTTGTGTTTGCGCATCTTCTAAGTGAATGATGAATTTATAGACTGCTGGGGCTAACTGTTTGCCGGCCAACTTAACAAGTCTTTCATATCTGAAATAGGAAAAGCGTATTGTCAGATAGATAAATATGCTTTATTGTCTGAAGAATATAGTCATGTTGAATGACCAAGCTAACTTAAAACTGAATTATAACAAATTAAAATATCTCGGATTCAGAAATAAAGGTCTACATATAGCTCTAGTATTGCTATTAGTTAAGCATCTAATAGATCGTTTTTTATGTATAAACTCCTTTTTCAAACAATTTTGAGAACAGACACACCAAAATTGAATGATATATCTCAAGTCTACTTTCGAATAACGCAAATTAACTGCTTAAGGCTGTGCTTTTTCCTACTTTGTAACTAATTGTTCTTATAATACGGTAAACCTTTGCCAAATGAGTAATTGTTGATTGCTTGTATATGCTTGTCAATTTTTGTTTTAATTTCATTTGTATCTGTTTTTGCCATAATATTGTATAGTCATCTATATAGTGTCTACACGTATGTTTCTTCGTTTTTTGAGTAAATGGAGTGCGTAATCACGAATATGATGCCAGTTTTTCTCTGAGGTCGACTAGAAGTCTCAAAAGTCACATTTCCTTATTCCAAATCTCAAATTACCTATGTATACCGAGTTTCATTCGCTTGCAACAAGGTACGAATACGTATATTTTCTATCCTCGAAGTTTAATGGTTTGACAGAACCTGTTTCTTGGGTAAATTAAGCGCGTAGATAACGAATATCTGATGCCATTTTTGTCCTGAAATCGTCGGAAGGACTCAAAAGACCCACTTTCCTACATTTAATTGGGCTTCACAACACCTTCGTAGTGTGTGACGGCTGTACTCAATGTAATTTCATATTAAGAAAGCAAGAAACGTAATACTGACCTTGCTCCTTGGAATGGCAGATTCGTTTTTGAACTTCTTGATGTGAAATATTTCGTTAGAGATGACAGCGTGTTGAATAACGAAATTATGTTCTTGAACACCGCCTCTGTCATATTACCAGGCTGAAGTGCAAGATTGCTCAAGTTTGTCATTATTGTAATCACAAAGCACAGATGACAGCAGACGCCTTTTTCTTTAATTTTCAAACGTTCTTTTCCTGAAAAAAATAATAAAATAAAACATTATCACAATCTTCAATACTGGATTTTTCTTATTGTGGTACTTGTTATTTCAATAAAAATTATTCAAACACTTACTACTTTCAACATTATCTATCCCCGGCAATAGCAGAATACTACATTCTGATTTTAGTCTAGCAACAACGCTATCAATATCGTCCAAAGTAGTTTTAACGTTGGCACATAGTGCTAGAAATACGCTGTTAACTGATGCTTCGTTGATCAATTTGAACTTCTCGGAAGTTACGTGATCCTCCTAAAAGATAATATAATTTAAGCTATGTTATTTGCTAAACGTGACTCAACTCTGACTCGAGTTTCAAAGAATTATAATCATCGATCAACGTGTTCTCCAAGAAGCCATCCAACACCGTGCTGTATTTGGATAGTCAGTTACAGGGGCCTAAAACAGCAGAGAATAAAGCTACGTTCTCACGAGGTAAAAAGACGATTGAGTGGCATTTATCCGATTTCCTTTTCGTGACTATTGACTTGAGTGGGGAGTGGTACGTGAAGCAGTGTGTCGTGGATTGCTCACATGTTGTGATTCAGTTCATTCCTTGAAGCTGACAATAAGATCAGAGTAATAAAAACATACTCCATTTTTGTTTCAGGATAAATTGTTGATTCCTAAACATGACATCAACCTTCCAAGAAAAGATCAACTCTTCAACCTCCCTCGTAATTACTCCAGTGATATTGGAGATATTACACTATTTTCGCTCTCGCTGTACATATTGTAGTTTATTGATACACTCGAAGAAGTTGTCCTCCTTCTCTTAGGTCCCACGAAATTAAATGAAGAGCATTTTTTTATATAAATTAACTATGACAAAGTTGTTCAAGTACAGGGTTGCTGAACCAGTATGTAATACGCGAGAAATTGATAGGGTTAGTTGAAATCTACATTGCATTTTAACTCAACTGTGTCGACCGCCGCCAAATGGCGTTTATAATTTCTATAATTACCCCTATTGATATGTTTATCGACTGAAAGGGCTTGATAAGAGAGATACAGTAAGCAACGCGACGTCCTCTAGATCCAATATGGCGGCCGCAAAATATCCATTAATAGTTTCCATAGTCACCCCCATATCATGGATATCAGATGAAAGGAATTGATGAAAAAACACAATAAGAAAAGTGACGTCATTCTTATCTAATATGGCGGAGGTTTAATATGACAATTCACAAGGTAATATACGAGGCATGTCTCTTACGAAGTGGAACTTGATCAAAATAAGTCTGTTACTCAATTGTTTATAGCGTCATTTGACAGACCATATATTTTTGAGGTATGTTGTTTGTATTGTATTGTAAGTGGTGACGAATCATGGATATACAGCTATGACCCCAAAAGTAAGGCTCAATCCGCAGTATGGGTATTTCAGGATGACGTCAAACCAAACAAAGTTATTCACTCTAGAAGTGTCGCCAGTTTTGTAGCCAAATCTGGGCATGTTGCCACAATTGCCCTTGAGGATCGTCGAACCTCTCGTTATTACCGAACTACGAAAAACAAATAAGAATTACCGAATCCTTCTTCATCACGTTAACGCAACCGCACACCCTGCTCGCCCCACGGTATAATTTTTGGACTCTGAGAATGTCGAGATTTTAGGTGACCCACCATATTCACCAGACTTAAGTCCCAACGGTTTTATACTTTCTCCAAAATTAAGAATAAATTGCAAGGGAAGCGTTTTCAGTCTCCAGAGAAAGCGGTAGAAGCTTATGCAGAGCCTATTGTAAGTACGCCAACTTTAGAGTGGAATTACTGCTTTACAGATTGGTTTCGAATGGAAAAATGTATCGGGTTTAAACGCGAGTACTTCGAAAAACAATAAATATTCTCTCGTTTGTCCAAGTTGTTTCATTTGGTTAAATAAGAGACACGCCTCGTAATTATGACATGGAGGTGCTCTAATGCTGAAGTCAAGGATTGGTCATGGGAACCGATCGATTAGAGCCTCGCTTGAGTCCTAATAATAAGTACTCTAATCTTACGGTCTGATGAGTAAATTACGAGCCCATTCCCACTTCAGTTGGCCCACTTCAAGATTTGTACCAAAATATGCCTTTATAAACTAAACATGATGAAACTATTTACTTCTAAAATAATTTATTTTCTCAAAATCATTTTAGATACACCCTAGCCGTAAAAAATACATATTTAGACTTATAGCTAATAGAACATCTAAACAAATAAACAATGTGCGAAGTTAACAAAGCGACAATTGAAAGATTACCTTCGGGTAACATCACCTTTATTTTTTATTACGGCTGAAATTATTTGGGGCATAGTGTTAACCAAGTTTTGGCAAAAATTTGGTGTAAAACAATCCCATATTTCTTGAAGCTTTTATCTCAGTTCGATGATTGTACAAGCAGGATGTTGTCGTAGAACCTTTTTCATGTCGTGCCACAAAGTTTCAATAGGTGACAGATTTGGACTGCTAGAAACCCATTTCAAAAGTAGTACATTATTTTCTTCCATCCATTTTATAGCCTTTTTTGTGGTCTGGCACGCTGCACCATCTTGCTGAAACACAAAATCTTGGCCGGATGTCAAACATTCTTCCATCACTGGTAAAAGCGATTCTTCTAAAATTGCCAAATATTTGTTTGTATCCACATTTCCGTCAATAAAATGAAGTTTTCCTACTCCTTTTGATGACATACTGCCCCAAACCATAATGGTTGCTGGAAATTTCACTTTTCTCTTCAGACAGTCAACATGGAATGCGTCATTTTTTTGCGAATAACTCTACTGCGACTATCACCAACACAAACTTCGAATCGGACCTCATCACTCCATTGTATTGCACACCATTGTTGAGGTGTACATTGTCTATGTTCTTTAGCCCATCTAAGCCGATATTCCTGCAGTGGAGTTAATAGTGGCTTTTCTTTGGCCTATAAACAAGTTGTGCAACTTTAGGGTTTTTACTACTATAAGAAAACATACCTTGCAAGTGCTAAATCCCAGTTTGTGGGCCTCTCTGAGTTGTGGACCTCGAAATTCTCCTTCCAACAGCGTCACTCCCCAGGGCACTTAATTGTAAATAATTGGCACGCCTGTTTTTCACGATTATTCTTCTTAATGCTCTTCGGTCGGTATTTGTGATATTACTTTTTTTCACATATCGTGGCTTAATATTAACTGAATCAGTTACGTTATATCTTCTAACAATATTTCTCACACTGTACCGTGATAAGTCTAACAAAGTTGCAATTTCTGAGTTTGATTTCCCAGAATTAAAAAATTTAATTGAGTAACCGAATTTTCTCACTAATAACCTTTCCTCTACCCATTTTAAAAACCTTGACTACCCAAAACTATTTTAAACGTATTCTGACAGCTGTGATTAATAAAAACAATTGTCACTGCTTTTATTTTCACAGCCACCTATGCGTTATAGACTTATTTTGCATTGAAATGAAAATAGGTTGATATGCTGTAATTGCAACATGTGTTATTTTTATGCTGCAAATTTGATTAGGGAGTGATAAAGTTGGTGTTTTCAACTATATATTATCAAAATATTCATTGTTAATATTTTAAACCTATAACACCCTGCTACATTTTTATTATTTGTGTTTGATAAGAAAAAACTAAGATTTCAATAGTTGGGCCAACTGAAGTGGAAAGGGGCTCGTAGTCATCTATTGTGTAAAAAAATCTCTAATAAGTATATCAAATTTCAATTTTTTAACATTAGATAGTTCGCTAAAATGTATGTTCAATCAATTGAGCAAGAATACTTAATATAATAAGTCTCCTCTATTTACAAAATTTGTTATATTTTTCATCTTTCCTTTATGCATCGTCTGAATTTGATCTTGAAATATGCATAGATATAAATAATTATGTTTGCTTACGTCAATAAAATAGAAACAAAGAGCTTAAAGAGTTATTCTTGTTTTTTTCATACATTTTTATTTATATTATCAGTTTGAATTTCGCATTTTTCAGAAAATTAATTCACTATTTCTCACTACTTTTTTTTTGAAAATATCACTTTTCTTACTTGAATTCATGCTTTGGGCCGCCAGCACCCCTTGTATTTCTAAAATTCTAAGAGGTGGCAACACTGACGCCTAAAGACAGCGGTCAACACGGATAAAGTTGTAAGCATAGGATTGGTTACCTTCTGGTGGAAAATGTTAACCAATGATTTATCTTACCTCTGTTAAAAATCCAACAATGTCACCAATACTAACAGACATTTGTTCAAGTATAGTTAAGCTTGGCTTATACTTCAAGTGCAGTTCAAAGAATAAGTTGATGAAAGCTGTAGATACTTTTGCTGATGCAATCTTGTTATAGGCAAAATGTTTCAACCAGTCGAAGATCTGCAACGATTAACAGTTTCAATAGAACGAAAAAATCCGAACATCCATAAAAATTATAGTAATCGTTTTAAAACACTTCTTCATGTATAATTTCAATGGTGTATAAAAGCTCGATGGATAAATCTAAACAACAAAGCTCTACTGAACATTTATTATGCACTGGCCTATATCGACATATCTTACATTAAGCCTGTGGCCCAAAAAAAGAATCGTCAAGTTAATTTTTCGAACAAAGCCATTTGACTCCAGCAGATACATTTTTAAACCAAGGGAAGTTCTTAACGTGTATTGCACTTGCATTTTGAAGTACATAACCTAAGTTAGAAATCAAAACTTAAAAATAGTTCAAAAACATACTACATTCAGTTTCAGAAAGTCCCCATGTTACAACTGCATTGTATTATTCAAAAAATTACAAGTTAAAATTCAACAAATTAGTATAATTATATTTCATTTAAAAAGGAAGTTGAGATATAATTTTTCAAAAGTTAATTTTAAAATCTAAACGAACTTAAAATGGCAGCAATAATACTTATTCATATGCATTGTTACTTTTTTATTGATCTTGTTTTGTGTTACATGTTTCTACCATATATACATAACTGTATCAAGTGGAAATGAATAAATAAATAAATACCTTGATAGAAACTACATTTCCGTCATTCGGTACAAGTCCCGCAAGTACTCCAATCGTATTTATCACTGTGAGTGATATGTTTCTAGTGTCTGCATCGTCTGAAGTCTCTGCATCATCTTCCTCAAATATTTTCTTGCAGACTTCGAACATCACCGTAAGCTGACGAATAGTATCTTTGTCCTTATCGGCTTCATCAACTGCAATCATTTATTATATTTCAAACTACGAAATTTAAAGATGTTAAGTTTGTTTTACCGATTTTCTTCAAGAAGGATTTTACATTCGACTTATACTGAGTGCTGATCAAACTCAGTATATTATGAAAACAGTCCATAGCTAGGACAGCTGTGGCGCTATCAAAATCTAAAAAATCCACCAATCTTTTTACTATTCTTCTAAAGATGATTGCAGCAATGTCACTGATATGCTCGTAATAGTTCTTCTTGATTTGAGTATCAATAACTTTCAATTTTTTCGCATTTTGCACCAGAGTGAATGTTGTATGCATCACTTTTTGGTGTAGTTCCTTTTTAGTTTTTAACAAGTTGGCTTCTGATGTCGTTGTCCAAGGAACATTTGGTCTGTAGACAGAAAATAGAACCAAGTAGGATAATTTGGTATTTCACACGCACTAATATACGAGGGCGGTCCGATGTTTGCTTAGCCTACAAAAGAACCCGTACGAAAAATACTATTTCTGAAGGTATGCGAAGTAGACTCCGTGACGGCGATAACCTTCGACTCAAATTTTTCAGGTTTGGAGACAAAAAGAAGTCGCACGAGGCCAAATCTGGACAATACCGTGGATGGGGCAGCATTTCGCAGCCTAATTCGACCAATTTGGCGGTGGCGGCGAAGGAGGTGTGAGCCGGTGCGTTGTCATGGTGAAAGACCATTTTGTTCTTTGCCAAATGGGGCCGTTTTTCCTGCAATTCGGCGTCGAAATGGTCCAATAATGCGGCATAGTAGAACCTTATGACCGTTTTGCCTTTCTCCAGGTAGTGGATATATGGCAGATCGCACATTTTGAATTCTAGAAAACGGTGGCCATCGCCTTTCCGGCCGCCTTCTTCGGAGTACGTTTGAAGTCGACGGTTCCTTGGTCTCCGATGTGTACCAGTGGATCCATGTTTCGTCGACGGTCACGAAACGTCGCAAAAACTCCTTGGTACAGAGCAGAGTTCCCCAAACTTTTTTGTGTCGTAGACCCCTTGCCATGTTTTTCCGTGTTGGGTAGACCCCCTACTTACCTGATATTGATTTCCTGTAAATTTCTAACTGTAGTGAAGTTTAGTGTTAAATACTTAAAGTAAAAACACATGTTAAATTATACATTCATTAATTGAATTTAAATTAAAACTACTCAAAGTAAAATTTTGTATCTGTTATGTAAAATATACGTAACATTAAATAAACAGGTGTCTGACCAATAAGTGACCGCATTGGGAATAAGTGCCCGCATTGAAAAAAAAATAAGAGGGACAAAATAAAAAAAAAGTGAAAAATAATAAAAAAAAAGTTTTTTACTTAAAATAGTACAATAAGCGAGTTCGTTTATTAATTATAACATAAACGTATGTTCTACAATAATTTCACTGTTAGTTTGATTAAATTCCGCTTCTTATACGTTTAAGTTATCTAAAAATAGGTAAAAAATTAACGAATTTTAGTGTGTACCTATCCTTGAATTTTCAGAATAATTTAAAAAAAAATATTTTCTATAAAGATGGGTTCTTTAAAAAATCATTGCGGGCACTTATTCCCAATGCGGGCATTTATTGGTCAAACACCAATAAACATAAAATAAACTATAAATAAAATAACATAAGCAATAAGTCAATATTTTTAGTGAGAAGGATGAATCTGATGCTTTAATAATAAATTATCAACATTTGGCGTCAATTTTGTAAGGGTTAATCTTAAATCTCCTCGGCTAATGATGTCCAGTCTGTTTCTTTTTTTCGTTAGGAGATTGGTAACAGCGCTGAACCCCCTTTCCACTAGGTATGACGATGGAAAGGAAATTAAAAATTTCCTCGCTATATTCCATAATACGGGATAAGTAACGGGTATGTTGTTTTGCAGCCAGAATTGCTGATATCCGTTTTTAAACTGAACCTTAAGTTCTTCGTTTGTACTTAGTTCAGTCAGTTCCTCTTGTATTATGACATTCGTTTCTTCTATGTCCCCATATGGATTAATTATCCACGGTGGTATTACCATAGTCAAAATATCCTCAAACCTAGATTCAAAATCTGAATAGAGGGCATTTAAATGTTGAACGTAAGTTGAAACGTCGTCTTCCTGGCAGCTTGTCTGTGACAAATTGGGGAACTGAGAAAATTCGCCCCGTCCAATATTTTGCTTCATTAGTTTAACCCTGGCAAGAAACGGTGATAAGATGGACTTTGTTCTAATCAAATTTAAACTGTCGCCTTGTAATTGCAAATTAACCATATTAAATTTTGTAAACAAATCTGTTAAATAGGCGATGTCTGTTTTCCTCTTCATTAAATTTTCTTTTAAAATTTTATCTTTAGTATCCAGAAATTCTAAAATAGTCTCAAAAAGTGCAAAAAATCTTGTCAAACATAAGCCTTTCGACAGCCAGCGTACTTCAGTGTGAAGGAGTAATTGATGAAAGTGTTCGTCATTTTCTTCACACAACTGCGCAAATAACCGCGTATTCAACGCGTTGCTTCGGATTCGGTATAATGCATCAATGACTAAATGAAGTGATTCATGCAATCTAACACTCAAATATTTAGCAACTAAATGTTGTCGATGGATGACGCAATGTATTGCTAACACCCCTGACACATTTTGTTTTAAATAGCTTATAAATCCACGATAACGTCCAACCATGGCAGGTGCTCCATCTGTAGCTACTGATATTATATTTGATAAAGGAATTGCTTTTTCAATGAATTAATCCTTCAAAACATGAAATATTGATTCACCTTTAGTGTCGGTTATCAAAGTTCTTGCGAAGAGCAGTTCTTCGTAGATTTTTTGATTCATAATAAAACGAACATATGCCAATAATAATGCTGCATTATCAGGTAAAGTTGTCTCGTCCACTTATATAGAGAAATGGGTCGTTTGCAAATATACTAAGTGACATATAAATCCGAACATCCAGTTTAAATGGTTTTATTTTAATAAAATTTTGTATAAGTACTTAATGAAGCATAATAAGTAAATGATAAAATTTCAAAATGATTGCACTGCTTTAAAGCCCTTTAACCTTTAAAAATGTGTGGATGCACCCTGATATGCTACGCATTCTCCAACGCGCCTAGGCATGCTTCTGATCAGGTGGTCAATGTCCTCCTGTGGTATCTCATTCCAGGCAACCACCAACTCCTCTCGAAGTGCTTCTAGAGTCTGAGGAGGACGTTGCAAATTGAGCAATCTCCTACCCATCATATCCCACACGTGCTCAACTGGGGATAAGTCGGGAGATCTTGGTGGCCATGGTAACAATGTGACATCATTATGTTGAAAGAAGTCTATTGTGACTGTTGCAACATGTGGTCGGGCATTATCTTGTTGGAAAGTTGGATCTGCCAGGGTGTCAAGATAGGGTAAAAGATGGGGTTCTAGAACTTCGTGGATATAACGCTGCGCGTTCATGTTACCTCTGATGAAGATTAAAGGTGACCTGGAACCATAAGCTATAACACTCCAAACCATAACTCCAACAGTGTGATGAACATGTCTTTCAACAGAAAACTGTGGATTCCTCCTTTCACCACGTCGCCTTCTAACCCTGGCACGACCATCGTGCATGCCTAAACAAAATCGAGACTCGTCACTAAAGACAATACTGTTCCATTCCTGATCCCAGAGTGACCGTTGTCTGCACCACTCAAGGCGATTACGTCGGTGTAAGAGTTAGAAGGCGACGTGGTGAAAGGAGGAATCCACAGTTTTTTGTTGAAAGACATGTTCATCACACTGTTGGAGTTATGGTTTGGGGTCCTATAGCTTATGGTTCCAGGTCACCTTTAATCTTCATCAGAGGTAACAAGAACGCGCAGCCACGAAGTTCTAGAACCCCATCTTTTACCCTATCTTGACACCCTGGCAGATCCAACTTTCCAACAAGATAATGCCCGACCACATGTTGCAAGAGTCACAATAGACTTCTTTCAACATAATGATGTCACATTGTTACCATGGCCACCAAGATCTCCCGACTTATCCCCAATTGAGCACGTGTGGGATATGATGGGTAGGAGATTGCTCAATTTGCAACGTCCTCCTCAGACTCTAGAAGCACTTCGAGAGGAGTTGGTGGTTGCCTGGAATGAGATACCACAGGAGGACATTGACCACCTGATCAGAAGCATGCCTAGGCGCGTTGGAGAATGCGTAGCACATCAGGGTGCATCCACACATTATTAAAGGTCAAAGGGCTTTAAAGCATTGGAATCATTTTGAAATTTTTATCATTTACTTATTATGCTTCATTAAGTACTTATACAAATTTTATTAAAATAAAACCATTTAAACTGGGTGTTCGGATTTATATTTTGGGACCTCGGTTGGCCGCGTGGGTCAGAGTGTCGTGCTACTGATCAGCCGGCCGGCCGGGCCGCGAGTTCGAATCTCGCCTTCGCCATGGATGTTGTGTGTTTGTTTTAGGCAGCAGCAGTGGCCGCAGTAGTAGACTCTTCGGTCTCCTGATCAGCCGCCGTGCGCTGTGCGGGTTCGAGTCCCGTCCCAGGAGAAATGTTTCTCTTGGCCATGGATGTTGTAATTGTCCGTAGGTGGTAGATGGTCTCTGACTGTCGAACGCGGAGGTACCACCCGGCGGTTCTCGTAGGCGGAGCCAGAATGTGTGCATGTTGCATGCACACGTGTTCCCTCGCCAGAGTCCGTGTGGCGTCCCCCCTTTCCCATATATCCCCCATAGCCCCACGGTACCCAATGGGTGCTTAGGCCTTAGGCCTTCGTGGTAGTTGGAGTATAAAAAAAAAAAAAAAAATATGTCACTTAGTATAATTACATAAGAAGCTTTCAATATCAGAACTCATTTCATCAATACGTCTTTAAACAGTATTGTTGCTTAAGGGAATTCTTTTAATGATATCAGATGCAGGTTTGTGTAAAACAGTTTTTAAAAGCTCTTCAACGGCTGGCACAATTAACTTCTCTCCGATAGTATGCGGTTTTCTGGATTTTGCTATAAGTAACGAGATATTGTAAGACGCCCGCAAACCATCATCATTTCTTTGTGACATCGAAGCGAACATTCTGTCCAGTGTAGGTCTCTTCTGAAATTTATCTTTGAGTGTTTGAAAATATTTCAAATCTTTCTCTGTTTTATCAGGGTGGCATCTTCTCAGATGATCTTGCAGTTTAGATGGTTTCATAGCGTCATTGCCCAAAACTTTGTTGCATAAAAGGCACATAGGCGATTGTTTGTCCGGCAATGATGGAATGAAGCCAAATTTCAAATAATCAACACTACTGTCTACATTTCTTTTTAGATTCGGACATGGCATCAGTCATCTGTGGGCAAAATTAAATTATTTAAATAAGACAGAAAATCCAGACCACTTGCAGGATGTCATAGACCCCTAGGGGTCGATATAGACCACTTTGGGAATCAATGGTATAGAGCTTAAACCGCGTCAAACACTGCTCTGAAATGGTCTCACGGTTGCGCTTTCTCATGCTCAATATTTTCTGCCGGATGAGACCTACGCGGTCTTTTGAGATGCCTACTGTCATAGCTATCTCGCAAACCTTCAATCGGCGAACTGCCAATAAGAGATCGTGGATTTTTGTCACGTTATACTCCGTGGTATCCGTTTTCGGGGCACATGGGCATGGCTCATCAAAAACCTACGTGCGGGAACTCGTTAAACTAATTTTTGACGATCGAAGGAGGAGAGTCACCGTACACAGCATCCAAGCGCGACTTTCCTTCCTAAAACAAGAATCGAATCACCGACGGATATTGTTCTTTTTCCATCTTTCTATGATTGCTTCCTCACGCGGTCAAAACAAAACTTCCGAGTCCGATTCGGCTGAAATTTTGAGGGTAGATTGTTTATTCAATTGACCATCGACAAATGACATTGAATACGTGAAAAAACTTATTCATGCAAAACATAACACCGAAGAAAAAAAATCACTGAAACATAAATGTTCGCAGAATCCAAGTAGCCGCGTTCGAGAATATACTATACGATAGTAAATTTCTCTTGCGATAGTGGTGCAATCGGGCGGCGAGGCTAAGTACTTATCGGACCGCCCTTGTAAATAAAATCGGGTATGATTGAATTTGCATTCTACAAAATAATACGACGAGGGGATGAATTTTTTAATATGCCCAGGTCCACGATGATTGAAAATTATCAGTAAATTTCGATGCTGAAATAAATGTACTAAAAATATCTTCACGCTTACTCGTGTAGCAGGCTCAAAAACTTCTTGATACACTGGAAATCCAGCACAGTTTTTGGACTTCTGAATGTTCTAGGTTTCTGACCATCCTTCTTACATGTCGCTGTTGTGTTATTGTGAGACTGTTGTGTACTTTTGTTCATATCTCTTTTCTTTTTGGCTTCCGCCTTTTTGGGTTTGCTGAGTGTCTGTAAACAATTGTACTTTACTTCGACAGATATTTGAGGAAGTTTTACGAGCCATAATTTACATTTAGCATCTTTGAAATCTACTTTTTATGAAAATGTATTTTACTTTTTTTTATTCCTGTAGTTTTGTAGTTGAAGGGAAGAGTCTAGGTGCTACACGTATTTGTGATGAGTGATAGAGATAATAAAATGTTTGAACTTGCGGGTTAATATCAAAACTTATTGAGTACACGTTTGTAGTTCTCCTATAATCTTCTAGAAAAGTTGTACCTTAGCAAATTGCTCCAATCGACTGTATCCTTGGAACAAAGCATACACTGTCCTAGCTTGATTTTCTGAATGTTCATTCCATGTATTTATTTTATATCCAATCAGTGCTTCATACACTGAGATTGCTTCTTGCAAAATCTGTAACTTTCTCTGTGCTTCCGGGAGAATATCTAACAAGTCAGTTCCATCATCCTACAATTCAAATATTCAAAACTCCCAAGAATGAAAGACAGATTTGTTTCATACCAATTCAAAATGGACCAATTCACAATTCTTCATTCGATCACATACTGATTCCATGATATCTGCATACTTCACAACTGTCACATTTTCATTTTGTTCATCACTTTCTATAAGGTTATTTAGAATCAAACCTATGGTATAGACCAGCTTACCTAGTGGTTCCTAAAAGTTTTATAAAGCAGAGTAACACCAAAGAGTAGTACCTTGTTTAATTCTATTTGATATTCATATAACTTTGATAAACTTGCATCGAACTGAATTTCAATGAAGTCTTCCCTGACTGAGTCAAATTTTGATATATATGGAATGAATTCTAAATGTAATACGCGGTGTAAAAAAGAACCATCGCATACAGTGATTGGACTTATTTCTCAGGTTGTGTTACTAGGCATAAAAAAATTATTATATACAATATAGAAGAAAACAAAATTTTAAAGGAAACACAAATAGGCTTTCGCAAAAAATATTCCTTAGAAACGACTTTCCAGTTGGTTCGTAAGAATTGGAGAAGAGTCATTTGAAACAATCTAATACGTATATCTTGTTCGGTAAATTGAAGGCATATGGTATAACAGGAAGTCTTTTACACAGGTTTAAAAATTATTTGTCTGAAATGGATACAAGCTACAAAGGTTGATAAGAACTGAAAATATGTTAGGTGTACCGCAGGGCAGTGTCCTGGGACCACTTCTTTTTATTTTATACACAAGTGATTCCCTGCTATTGTCCAAAAAAGTGCAAAATTCAATTTTTCGCCGACGTCACATTTATTTATATAAGTACTCAACATATTCAGTCTGGTATCCATTATACAGATATAAATGAAGACCTGAAACTTGTTTCAAAATGGTTAGCATCTAACAAACTCAAATTAAATACCAGTAAAATGAAAGCTAAGTTAATTGAAAAAAACACTGTATAAATGTTCAATTAAATATTAATGGTGAAGATATTGAATTCGTATAAAATTTTAAATACCTTGAGGCTTGTGTTGACTCTATTTAATTTTGATATTTGTTAGGATAACATTATAAACAAGATTAGTAGTAAAATGGGACATTTATCAAGAGTTTCTGTGTCTGAGTTCATGTAATAAAAAAATTATCTATAATGTATATTTAGCTAATCATTCCATTTTTGTAAGATTGCACATTTAACAAAACAAATGCATGAGAATAATACTGAATAAAGATGAATATATTCCAATACCCTCTATTATATTAATTTATAAAGTAAAAAATAATATTTCCACCATAACTAAGTAAATTAAATCAAATGCCGTCCATCATTGACATAATACCAGGAATAAAGATGATTTCCATTTTATGTGCAAAAAGAATAATATAATATGCTACAAATCTGTATTCCATCAACGGTTGACTGCATACAATAAATTAAATACAGATATAAAAGACCAAAATGCAAAGTAAGATTGAGGATTCACTTGTTAAATTCACAATTATAGCTTGCCAAGCATGTGTATCATATGGCTTGAATTCACTAATTATAAGTTGTTTGAAATTATTCTGTTCATATAGCCAAACTTGCAAAATAAATCGTTCTACTACTACTACTAGGTATGTAGGATACATCGAAATATTATCGACTTATGAAATTAGGGGATTTTGAAATCATCCCGTGGAACAAACATTGGTTTTGAAGGTGATTTAGCATGATTCAAAACACGATTTAGACTTTCTGCAATCAGATGGCACCTTTCACAATTTGGTCGAAAACTGGATTTAGGGGGCTTTGAAAATAGGCGTAAGTATTTGAATTAATTCGAAAGCTTACCATCTGCACAGAGTCTGTATCCCTGAGTATAGAAATTTTCTTGAAGTCTACTGGTAGCATTTCGTTCTCATCAGCCACATAAAAATCCTTGAAGTGGAACCAAATAACTTCCAGTGTAGGCATCGCCAACTCTAGATTTATGCTTATTGCATCAAAAAGACCTAAAAAACGAAAGCTCAAACAAATTACTTTTGGTTCCTTAATTACCGGACGTAAACTCACTCCACTCTCGGAATGTCCGGATGGAGGGTGGGCTCGAGGGAACAACATCGAAGATAAAATTTGTTTTTCGAACATCTGCGGGATTAACAGCAACATTGATGCTATTCATCACTACCTGCAATCCTATCGTCTCGCCGTGCTTTTCTTGGCGGAAACAAAAATCTCAGAGACTGTACCGATTAACCATCTCAACTTCCCAAACTTCGAGGTGCACTCCAATCTGAGAAAGAACGGGGGAGTTGTGGCTTTAGTCCGCAGCAGTCTTTCCTGCTCCAGGGATCTTTCTTTGAAATCAGACCGGAAGGACATTCTGTGGCTTCGCCTCAACTCCAAAACATCACCAAAATTTATTTGCTGCCTTTATCGCTCTCCCTCGAACCATAACTGGCCTGATCTACTCGAATACCTCGCCGTCCAGATCGACTTCCTGAACATCAATCACCCCGCTTCAGAGGTATTTCTTCTCGGTGATTTCAATGACCATAATGAGCTTTGGTTGGGCTCAAATAGGACCGATGCAGCAGGTCGTGCAGTCGAAGCGTTCGCTCTTACTCAAGGGCTGACCCAGCTGGTGACGAGCCCTACTTTTTTCCCCCGCGTCTCGTCACAGGCCAGTAGCCTACTGGATCTCTTTCTGACCACGCATCCTGTCCCTTACAGCACTGCTGTCCTGTCCCCCCTGGGTACCTCAGATCACGGTGTTGTGGAGGTTAGGTTTCGGTCAGAAGCCGCTGTGGCAGCAGATACTCGTGCAGGCCGCAAAACTTGGCATTACGGACATGCCGACTGGGAGGGGCTCAGAGACTTCTTCTCTAGCTTTCCTTGGAGAGATGTCTGTTTCACTGACGCGGATGCGTCGACTGTCTGTTTTTCGATAACCGAAATTATCCACATCGGAATGGAGGAATACATCCCTCACACAATGAAAGTTCCTAAACCAGGGTCCAACGGCTGGTTCAACAAATCGTGTGACACTGCTCGCCAGCAGAAGATCAAGGCACACAGAACCTACTTACAAACCCAACTGTAGAGAACATACAAGCCGTCGTCGAGTCCAGAAACAAATATAACGAAGCGGTTCGCAATACTAAAAACCAGCATGATATAAAAGTTAGGCACAGGGTAATGTCGCAGCGCAATGGCAGTCGGTCTTTCTGAACGCTGGCCAAGCAGATTGAAAAGAACTTCTCACACAGTAGCCTTCCACCACATACGTGTCAGGATATAACTATTGTATTCGACTCAAAGGCCAAAGCGGAAGTGCTAGCCAAGATCTTTGCTGCCAACTCCACCATAGACGTCCCCACAAACGCCCAAGTGCCGTCAATTCAAAGGGTTCCCCACACTATGCGGGAGGTAACATTCAGGCATAAGACCGTAAGACGAGTGCTCTTGTCGCTCGACATCAACAAAGCTTCTGGTCCGGACTTGATTCCTGCCATTGTACTGAAGAGATGTGCAGCGGAGCTTGCTCCAGTTCTTTCGCGTCTCTTACAGATATCTTATGAATCCGGCACCTTCCCAGAAAACTGGAAATTTGCTCATGTACAGCCCATCCCAAAAAAAGGATCTAAGACCGACCCTTACAACTACAGGCCTATAGCTCTGCTTTCTGTTATAAGTAAGGTGATGGAGAGGTGCATAAATCGCGAGCTTCTGGACTACCTCGAACGTCACAGCTTGATTAGCGACAGGCAGTACGGTTTCCGGCACCAACGATCCACAGGGGACCTCCTAGCTTACGTCACGCAACTGTGGAGAAAACTCATCCAGTCTCATGGTGAGGCTCATGTCGTTGCTTTTGACATCACGAAAGCGTTCGATCAGCTGTGGCACGCTGCCCTCTTAAGCAAACTTCCATCCTATAGCCTCCCAGAAAAGCTTTGCAGATGGGTGGCTGACTTTATCTCTGGCCGCAAGATATCCGTCGTAATTGACGGATTCTCCTCTTCATCCCACAACGTCAACGCGGGTGTTCCCCAGGGATCGGTCTTGGCTCCAACACTGTTTCTCTTACATATCAACGACCTCCTTTCCTGCACGATCAACCCAATCCACAGCTTCGCTGATGACAGCACTCTACATGCAGGAATGCAGAGTGACTAGCCGATCTCTGCCGCTGAGCTGGAAAAAAGAAGACTAGCGACGACTTCTTCTCTGACAAGAGACCTGGAGGCTATCACTGCTTGGGGACGCAACATTCTTGTACAGTTCAATGCTTCCAAAACACAGTACTGTATTTTGACGAACAAGAAGCGTCCTAGCGCTCATACAGTTTCGATGGACGGACGAGTTCTACCAAAGAGCCATTCATTTCGTCTGGTCGGAGTCCAGATCACCGAGGACCTGATCTGGCACGAACACATCTCGCATAGCTGCAGCTGCTGGGAAAAAGCTAGTCTGTTTGTTTAGAGCTAAGAAGTACTTTTCTCCGCATGACCTTCTCACTCTATACAAGGCCCAGATAAGGCCTAGCCTCGAGTATTGCTCACACATTTGGGGTGCTGCCGCCCCGACTACATTATCCATGCTCGATGCTGTCCAAAGGAGGGCGGTCCGACTGATCGATGACTCTTCTCTAACAGACAGTCTCGGGACTCTTTCGCACCGGCGGGCCGTCGGCAATCTAGCTCTTTTCTATCGCTACACCAACGGGCTTTGCTCCTCAGAGCTCTCTTCGATGATGCCGCCGCGCGATGTGCCTGCCAGGCAGTCCCGTGTGACTTCGGCGTCCCATCCTAACCGTGTCAAACTTCGTACATCCAGAACTGGCCGATACGACCGCTCCTTTGTCTCGAGGGTGTCTAGATTGTGGAACAATCTACAAGAGGAAGCTTTTACCAGTTCTACTAACTTTAGGCAGTTCAAAAATCGTATTAACAAAATTTCTTTGGGATCATCATAGCAGCCGCGGTGTTTCGGAATTTAGGCTTCTGCCTGCGCGGCTGTTTCGATATATATATATATATATATATATTTGAGACGTGGTCATTGTCGTCTAGACCAGTTAGGTGAAAAAATTAAAGCTTCCGCTTTTTGTTGGGTACTTCGACAAGATTTAAGCAAAGAGGACTCTTTATACTTTTTTTAATTCTCTCTAGCTTTCAATGGACTTTGCCATCATCATCAGGAGCTGCAATTACAATGATAACAGTAGCATTTTACACCTTTGTTGCTACTGTTATCATTGTAATTGCAGCTCCTGATGATGATGGCAAAGTCCATTGAAAGCTAGAGAGAATTAAAAAAAGTATAAAGAGTCCTCTTTGCTTAAATCTTGTCGAAGTACCCAACAAAAAGCGGAAGCTTTAATTTTTTCACCTATATATATATATATAAAAAAAAACACAGAAGAACAGATAATTTGTTTTATGGTTCAATGGAAATCATTTCCTTACCATCATACAATTGTGTTTTGACTTCTATCTGTTGCATGAAACATCTTTTCAAAATACTCAACACTTCCAAACAAAGAGCCTCATTGCAAAAAGTGTTCGGACCTACAGCTTGAGTACTTTTATTCAACGACAATTGAGTGAAAACAGAGTGCCCAGAAGAGAATGAAGAAGAGTTGCTTTGGCTCAAAGAAGTCATATTGGATATTTTCAAGTGTGTAATGAGCTTTAGAAAACCGGAGACTGCCATTTGCCTTGTCTCGACTGAACTGTAAGGGAAATAAAAAACATATCTATAATAAAACTATATAAGGTGATTCACACTAAGTCGTGACCAAAAATGAAACATCTTGCACAGGACCGCATTTTATGGGTCTTCTAAGTAAAGAATTTAGAATGTGAACAATACTTAGGTAAATCCACATACCAAATTTTAGTTCATTCCAGTTGACGGTTTTGAAGATATTAAAAATAATTGTTTTTTATTTTTAACACGTTCGCTGCCTACTCAGACTGGATTAACTGTCCCCAATAGTCAAATACCTTTTTTCACCAATCAGACTAATATTGTAATCATTTTTAGTTACTTATATTGGTATCGAATTTAAAAAAGGTGTATATTGGTAGAGAAAAAAAATTGTCCCCCAGAGCCAGCGGTATTGAAATCAGGATTATTCGTATCACTGAAGATGACTCCGATCGGACCCGTCGGCACAAGGCGAAGATCACCGATTGGCTCCGATCGGAGTCATCGGCTGCGAAAGTGTTAAGCTTCAACACTCTGTATCTTTTTAATAAGGCCTCGAGGAAAAAATGTTACAAAGAAGACCCCCTTAAAATGCGGTCCTGTGTATGTTTCATTTTGGTCACGACTTGTGAATCACCCTGTATACAAAACTTATATGTATCGCCTATTTTTGTACCTTTTAGTTCCTACATTAAGACGTCCTAGTCAAAATATATGAAAAGTGGAAGTTTGATGATTCTTCAAAATTAAAACATTATATTCCATCTACACGAATTTTGTTATATATTTACCTTGAGTATAATGCTTTCTTGAGAAGCATGATTAAGTGGTCCCTAAGTGAAGGAGACACTTTTGTGATAGGTATTAGGGCATCTAATAATTGATTGGCGGTACTTCCAGGTATCTGCATTAGACTGTCCATTAATTCAACTATACAACTCTGACTTTCTAATATCAGAAGCGGTAGAGATCTACTCAATATGTACAAACATTCTAGAATAAAAACAGAGATTAAGGCCCATGAGACAAAACCTTAGGAGAGGATCTGTTAGAAGAAAGGTTTCCCAATCCGAGATATTGCGGGTGCATAGGCATCAAGAAAATGGGGAATGATAGAGACGGTCCCGCCAATGTTAAAGCATTCCCGGTTAGCGGATTTACTTGCTTTCCACATTGCCCACTGCGTTTCAACTTTTTGAGGGTCCATATTGACCCCTGGGAACCGCAACCCGCCACCCATTTCATTTGCTTGATGCCCGTGCATCCACTATACTTTCTTCTAACAGATTCTCTAGGGTTTTGTGTCATGGGCTCTTAGACAATATGGTTAATTATTGAGGTATACTGAGGTATTTGACAGAGAAACAAAAGTTTGACGTGTTTGTCTAGCAGGGTTAAAAGACGACAACATCCAAGAAGGATTGCAACATATTCTTACGTCAGTGAATCAAAATTTCTCCATCTAAACTTACCAATGTACTGGGTAGCACTCTGTCTTGTGATGATATTATTACACAAAGTCTGTATAATGGTCATGGCAGTATGTTGTTTCCTCTTGATAATTTTTAGCAAAATCATATTGCCTAAATGCCATTGCTTTTCAGCTAAGACATCTCTACCTAATGCTGCTCCTACGCCAAGCAGAACAAAACCAAAATTCACCAGTGCTTGAAGCATAAGTTCCCTATCTTCTATGCTGAAAAAGGATTATTCCAATGAATATATACTGGGTGTTTGAAGAAATATTCTTAAGCTCTTAAGACAGTAAGTACAGAGATGGCAAATCGAAATTCTTCAAAAGACAGAGAGATTGCCAGCAGTTTTGGTCTACTATGTTTGTACACTGACAAATAGCACATTATTTCTTGCCTGTAATGAATGACTTTATCAAAAACCTCCTCTGGTTTTCCAGCAACAGGCACCATGTCCTTATACCAATCAGAGTGTTCCTTTTTTTGTTCCTCTTGATAGGACTTCACAATGCAAGGTCTCAAAATTTCAAAGACATTTTCTTCATAATGTGAAACAGTAGATATGGTGAACAGTAACATCAATTGAAAGGGATGAAGAATAAATTCAGGCGTTTTTGTCATATTTTTGAGGGAGTTTAGATAGTTCACAATACAATCATGGCTCAGTGCTGCAGCAGTGTGGATGTGGTATAAGACTGTGCCTTCTGCCTCAATCGTTTCTTGGTTGTCAGCAGATTCTGAAATAAAATATAATGAATATATAAAATGACATTAGGCACATGACAAGACGGCTAAATTAATAGATTTCCACAAAGAGTTCATTTAAGTAAATGAAACTTAGTAGGTAAATATCTTACCAATTAAATCCATGCTATTGGCTGAGGCGGAGCTAATCTCAGTACTTGAATTGTAAATCCTCAGCCCAAAATAGTTTTGCAACTTTACAAATACAGATCTAGCACTATCTTGTTTACACAGCCTCAAGAGTTGATACACAAAAGAAGGTAATTCTTGAGGTGTCAATTTTTCAATATATGTTCCTAATTTGTACGTTATTTTGAATAGTTCTTCTTTTGTTAGGTGCATATCTCTGAAATCACTTATTTAGTAATCTATTCAAAGAGATTTTAATGTGTATATAATAATGTTGACAAGAGTAATATTTTGATTACAAAAAGTCTAAATATAAGGATGGGCACTGAACTTAGATATGCCTAGAGTTCTGAAGAAGCATGAAATATGAATGAGCTTCTGTACAGAGTGATTCAGAAAACAGTGGCAATATTTTATATCAAAAAATGACACAAAAACTTCATATAAACAAGGTACAGGGTGTTGACATTATGATTTCAAAAAAAAGTATCCATAAGTGTAATAAGATATTGATTTAAAATTTTGTGCATGTGGTGTTGAAAGAGTAGCCTACTTATACATACAAAAACGTTTGTATTTCAGACTACACAAATGGTGTAGAAATAAGGAAATTCTGACTAATATTACAGAATACAAAAAATATTATTTTCTATGCCACTGAGTTTTTTGAAACATCAATTGCATTTTTGAATAAGGTACTTAGTTTTACATGAATCACTTCCTTGAAATTTTTGTCAAACTGCTCAATTAGTTTGGATATTTCATGTGAAATCCATATAAAAAACTTCAACCAATTCTACTTTGAAAATATGACATACTATTATAGTTTTATCATGAAACTAGTATAGTATATTAGGAGAGTAATTACTATAAAGTATTATTTGAACAAATTTATGTTTTGCCCTCAGCCTCAAGAGTGACATACATTTGCAAAACCTTGTGTCTAAGTGATGAGGCACTTTTGGACCTACATTTATCAACTGTTTATAATTTTCAGTACCCTCTACTCTAGGAATATTGCCATGTTTTTTGGATTGCACCTTAGATGACACTTCAGAATCTATATAGGGTTAGTGCGAAACTTTAGTGTATTGAGTACAAATAGTTATAATGGAATAAAGCTTATAATCACCAGCAAATTTTGATAACCTAGGTTAAATATTTGTGGTATTTCGAATCTATGTAGGGTTAATAAAAGATTAAGTATGTATCGAGTACAAGTACAGTTATAATGGAATGATTCTTATAATCACCAGCAGAATTTTGAGAATTCAGATGAAATGCTTGAGCTTAAGTTACTGGTCAAAAAGCAAGTGGTTTAATGTTTTCCTGAAATACATACATAAATGCAGATGCTAAAATAGTGACAATATTGGGAGACCAAGAAGACAAGCATAGGGAGTCTATAAAACTTGTTTTATACTCTTGTCCAGTGTAGTTTAGATCCTCAAATTCAAATATTTCTCTATCCATTAGCACATTCAAGACCTCTGGAAGCAAATCTTTCCATCTAAAAGATATATGTATTACGAATAAAAAATGTCTATTTGTCCATAGTTTTTCAGTATTTCCTTGATTGATGAATAAAAGTATCTACCCCATTTTAGTAGTTTTTCTTGACTGAATACATTCCAAGCAAAACTTGCACATCTTAGCTAAATCCTCGGATTTAAATTTTGTGATATCCAGGATTAACCTGCTGATAACTGCTTTTGTTCGACTCACTGGAACATCTTGTTCTTCAATAGTTTGTAATACACATAAAACGAATTTTATCCGCCTTCTGTTTAGTTCTGTGTTGTCTCCAAAAATTTGTAGTATGAAATTCCATACCTCTGTGAAGCCGGCACTGTTAATATTTTCTTTTATAGCATCAATCAGCTGCAAACATGATACAAGATATAAAATATACGAGAGCAATAAATTGCTCTATACTTCATCTTCGTCCTGTCGAATCAGGAAGTTCTTGAGCGCATTTTCATCTTTCTTTTGCCCTAACTGGCGAATCTGCTCAAAGATACTCATATTGTAAGAGAAATTTTAGTAAAATCTTGTTGGAATAGGAAAAGTTGTAAACCGCCAAATTATTTTTTGAATATTGACAACTAAACTAAATGTCATTCATAAATGTCATGTAAGTATAATGCGGGTCTCACACGATGCTTTCAACATTGTTTACAGCGTTCGACACCCCACAATTGGCAAGTGCGTCTCCTACACGATTGGATGTCTATTATCGGTGTCAGTGTCGCGCTTGAACCCTTACAACTGATGGAAAAATTATACAAAATAAACGGTGAAACAATTTTTTCGAGCGCCGAAAAATAATTTCAGACCTGTCCTCAGCGATCAAGACTTAAGCCTGTCCGAAGCCTCAAAAATATCGAAAAACGAAGTTTGACCGTTTTTTGCTTGTTTTACGACGATAGCACTACCGCCACTATATCGATTTTCAAAAACTGCAGAGCCTTTTCATTTTCATAGTCGTAACCTAGGGTCAACATTTCATCAAAATCGTGATAGTACTTTCAGAGATATCATTTCTTTAATCTTTTCGTTAGTTATGAAATGTAAGTCAATATATTTCTCAACTCTCTTGCATTTCAACAAGACATTATAATGAAACAATAATTGTAAGCACTTGATAATTTATAATTTACTAAAATACATATCCTTAGGCCAGCCATAAGTCACCTGCGAAACGTACAAAATATTAGCAATATGAAAAAGGTGCTGTTGTGACCGCCTATGTTTTGTATGTATACTAATTTAATTCATTCTTCTCAAAAGTTAGTTACGGAACATACATTATTATGAAGAGGTAGGTATTCAAATCAAAATACTTCCCACATATCACTACTTCACCACAATCACAGCAAACAAATAAATAATATTTGTCGCCGTTAGTGGTTCTGACCTAAAACCATCAAACACACGACATCTCGTGTGGGAGCGTAACGAACCATGCTTCCAACGTTGTAACGTCCTTTGACGCGGGTCAAATTTACCGACAAGAGCCCGAACGTGCCATGTCTTGAACGTTGGACACATGCAATCCGTCAGCGCTCTCCCACACGATGGGCGAATTGCCATATGTCCAACGATGTAAGGCATTCGCCACATCGTGTGGGAGCGCATTAAGAATATCGACTTCAATTAATAGTAGCTACTATACTATACTATAGCTACTCCATGATACTATGACTGAGAAGATAAACCCACGCGCATGCGATCAGGTTATCTCTCTCGCACACGTGACGTCACTCGGAGACCCAAATCCCCTGGGAAGTTCAGTTTTATATGGCACTTTAGCTTGTTTAATGTTTATGCTTTGTTTAATTAGTTTGTGATCTGCTGGTGTGGCTAAAATTTTGTGAAAAACAGTTAATCTAACATTGAACTATGGTGTACTGTGCAGTGGTGGGTTGTAAAAACAACAACAAAAAGAAAAGCAGATACTTTTCAACCTGCAGTTTCTTCCGCTTTCCTAAACACAAACAAGTTCGCAAAGAATGGGTTCTGAAGTGTTATCAGCAACACACATTCAATACTGAAACTGCAAGAATTTGTTCGAACCATTTTGTGGAAAGCGATTATCGTCTAAAGGAGAAACTGTTGGGTTTACCTGAAAATAAATGGAAGTTGAAAAGCGATGCAATACCCTCTGTTCATTTGATCAAATCACCAAAGGCTGAGACTCCTCGCACTAGGAGAATAAGACAAAGGTTGAATAGGGAGCTTGTACAATCAATCGATCAACAACTAGAGGTAGAAATGGCAGAAGTACAAAGTGAAAGTGAGGGAGACAAAGAGAACATTCCTGAGAAAAATAGAACTGTATCCACTCAAACAAGGTAAAAAATGAATAAATTATATAATAAATAATATAATCATGAGAATATATATACAATCATCTAAATATCTATTTTATTTTAGTAAATGTGATGTTGATCAACACATCACAAGTCTTGAAGTTGAAATTGCAAAATTGAAGCAGTTACTTCAAAGAGAAATGGAAGAAAAGGAAAAAATTTCAAAAGTTTTCACTGAAGGGCAACTTCGTAAGCTGAAATCAACCAAGGAAATCCAGTGGAGTGTTGGAGATGTAGCTTCAGCTATTTCCTTATATGCAGGTGGTCCCAGGTCATACCACTTACTCAGAAACTGCAGTATCCACTTTGAGAAGATGGGCTAGTAAAATTAATATTGAACCAGGTATTTAGATAGATAGATAGGTATAGATTTGTATTGGTCATTTGTCTAGGTATACTTGAAAACATACTTTGGTAACAATTGTGCAACTATGATTGCTTCCATGAAGAGTAAAACCATCAGCGTTGCTTTTTACAAATTATAGATATTTGAATATGTAATTTGATGAAAACATTCTAGGATCTGCATCAGTGTGAGTGTTCTTCAGAGCTTTCTCATCCCATGTTTAATGTCATTTTTTAGTCATTCAGCATTGTTGATTGTTTATTAATTTTTATGATTAATATTATGCATGTAACTAAGATTGAATAACATATAACTACTTCAATTGTTTCAGGTATACTTAACACAGTACTGACACTGATAAAAGACACAGCTCTGCCAATGATGGAAAAAGCATGTGTCCTACTCTTTGATGAAATGAAAATTCAAAGCTGTTATGAATATGATAAGAAGAGTGACAGAACCTTAGGACCCAGTAAATATGTGCAAGTTGTCATGGCTCGTGGAATATGTGGAAGGTGGAAGCAGCCCATATTTTATGATTATGACAGGAAAATAACGAAGGATCTTTTGTTTAAAATCATTTCCAAATTAGAAAATCTGGGATACCCAGTTTATGCAATTAATTCCGATTTAGGAGGTAGTAACAGGGGACTATGGAAATCCTTGAATATAACAGAAGAAAGAACATGGTTCACAAATCCTGTAAGCCAAAAAAGAGTACATGTGTTTGCAGATGCACCACACATGATTAAACTATTGCGAAATCACTTTCTTGATGATGGTTTTATTATGAATGGAAAGATTATAACCTCTAAACCAATTGTAGATTTACTCCAAAATACACAAAATTTAGACTTAAATATTGCACATAAAATCAATACCGATTTCTTAACAGTTAAGGGTCCTCAACGACAAAAAGTTAAATTTGCAACCAAATTGTTTTCACACACAGTATCAAAAGCAATTTCAAGGCTGGGATCATTAGGTATTTTTAAAAGTGAAAACAATTGGGTTGAATGTTCAGAATTAATAAAGATCACCAATGACTGGTTTGACGTATTCAATTCGAGAATACCTCAGAGTGATTCAAGGGAACGTGTAAAGGCATATGGGTTGGCTTTAGATGAGCAAAATCAAATTTTAGAGTCAATGGAAAAAACAATGCAAAATCTGAGAAAAGTCGGCTCTAACACGTTGTTGCCGTTTCAACGAGGTATTATAATCAGCATACAGTCTTTGAAGCAGCTTTTTTATGACATGAAAGAGGATTTCGGTATAAAATATCTATTAACTTATAATTTGAATCAGGATCCTTTAGAAGGTTTTTTTTCACAAATTAGAGCAATTGGAGGCTTATATGATCACCCCACTGCTCTGCAGTTCAAATATAGACTCCGCAATTACATCATGGGACGAAATGACGACATTATTTCCAAATCAGCAAATATTGCTACCATAGGGGATGTGCCAAATATTGCAATCGCTAGTGTAAGTAGTATTTCGGACCTTAATGTGTATGAGAATGATGTCGATGACTTTGAAATTGTTACTGGACAAATGTTTGAAGTTTTAAATGTACCAAATTGTGATGAACCTGTACAAAAAGATTCCGATCCAGAGGATACAATCATTGACCATCTCCAAGAATTAGAATGGGATGGTTTAGAAAATTTGGCTGGTTATATAGCATATAGGTTAAGGAAAAAAGAAAATTTAGGTGTTATTCCAGATGACAGTGAATCATCATTTTCATGGGTTAACCACCTCTCTGAGGGTGGTTTATTCAAACCAAATGCCGATTTTATGGTCAAATGTAATGAACTTGACCATATTTTCGGCACTTTTAATGGGGAAACATTGAAATTAACCAAAAATTATCTGAAATCTTTGATGGATTTAGCTGCATCAGTTAGCTTGAGTGCAGATGCCAAGCATCTTTTTTTTCGTTGCAAGATGTATTTTAAAATTAGGAGTTTGAACAGGCACATAAAAGAAAAATCCCAGGTTGCAAAAAGGAAAAAGTTGAAAATTGTGCAATGAATTATATACTAAGTGATATACATATAAATCCGAACACCCAGTTTAAATGGTTTTATTTTAATAAAAGTTGGTGAATGTATTTATCTTACTGTAAATAACAAGTGAAAAAATGTTCAGCCTTGTCAGTTGGACATTCCGGTTTTTATACTGCTTTTTTTTAATTCACTAACGATCTAAAAATGAATATTTCAGCCTTCCTTTACCCTATCTTGACACCCTGTCAGATCCAACTATCCAACAAGATAATGCCCGACCACATGTTGCAAGAGTCACAATAGACTTCTTTCAACATAATGATGTCACATTGTTACCCTGGCCACCAAGATCTCCCGACTTATCCCCAATTGAGCACGTGTGGGATGTGATGGGTAGGCGATTGCTCAATTTGCAACGTCCTCCTCAGACTCTAGAAGCACTTCGAGAGGAGTTGGTGGTTGCCTGGAATGAGATACCACAGGAGGACATTGACCACCTGATCAGAAGCATGCCTAGGCGCGTTGGAGAATGCGTAGCACATCAGGGTGCATCCACACATTATTAAAGGTCAAAGGGCTTTAAAGCAGTGCAATCATTTTGAATTTTTTATCATTTACTTATTATGCTTCATTAAATACTTATACAAAATTTTATTAAAATAAAACCATTTAAACTGGGTGTTCGTCACTTAGTATATAAAATTTGAGGCGCCTAAAGGGACAAATCTGGGATTTTTTTTGCCAATGTGCTCGAAATGGACTTTTTTGTGTTTTCTATTGATGAATCTTTTGTATCTTTACTGATGACTATTGTAAAATGAATTAAATAAAACTGTTTACCAATAAATAAGATTTTAGGGAAAAATCTGAGATATTCTTTTTTGCCAATATGGTCCAAATGTGAGATTCTTTTGTGTTTTCTATTAATAAGACTTGTGTATTTATACCGATGAATATTGTAAAATAAATTAAATAAAACTGTTTACCAATGAATGAGGTTTTTATTGTCACCTATCTATAAAAATATTGAAAAACTATGTAAGTAGACTACCTATTTATACATAACACTATAAAGACATGAGATGCGACATATTCGTCATCTATTTTTTTCTGCTGAAAAAATGCACAAATGAATTATTATTTATTTCTATAAATAAAGTGAGCCCCTTTATTTAGAGTTACAACAAATTTTAGTTATTAAACGGCTGGTGGCATGTTACTGTTCATTTTTAAAACCCATAACTTATCTATAATGATATATTCCAACGCGCGACCCGCCCGATCTCTACTTGCGGCCCAACTGACAAACTCCATTAAATTCTATTGACAAGTACATCAAAACATAAATAATAAAATCTATGCATACTATGCAATACTAAAACAATCATGTGACATTAAAAACACTACAAAATATAAATCAAACATCCCAAATATTGAAATCACAACGTCTAAATCTACATCTAAATCGTATCTGAATACACTGTATTTCGTACTGCGCGCCAAACATAGGTCTCCGCGTGACGTCATGCGCAAAGGCGTACGAAATTCGACCGCGAAGTGAGCTTACCTTCATAGTCTATAGTATCATGATAGTATCATGTAGCTACTCTGAAAAAGGAGCGCGGTTTTTATGACCAAGTCTCTTTTTCTAGTTGACTAACAATGAAGATCGCTCGTTTTCTAATTATCCAGACACTTGTTTCTATAAAGCCGCACCTCTTTTATTACTTAAGAACAAACGCAACGCCTAATTTTCTCGTTCACTGGTTGTGACTACGCTTATTTTCCACAAGCGGCTGCACGCTAGTGATGGGAGCAAAATCACGGACTGTTACTTAATCACAGATATCAGTCAATCATAAGTTGCTACTGCTACTCCATGATGCACGAAACTGTGATTCAAATCACGACATTCCCATATCGGTCTACTAAGTAAAGCGAATAGCAGTAGGCTGGCGTTCAGTTCAATGATTCACTGGCGGAATACTCCGCTCCGCACTCCGCTTACTGCTTGGCGCTTGCTGCCCGCTGGCGGCCGATGCCGATACCCGATATTCCTATCTCCTTATCTCTCTCTCTCTCTCTTTAACATGATTGTAGCGACCTGCTGCGACCTGAAGCGTAAGCGACGCCGATTTTTTATTTATTATCTGGATGTTATGATTGCAGCGCACGTATTTTTTTACCAACCAGCGGACATTCAAAAAATAATAGGAACATTGTGATTTAGTATTTCTAGTTCAGTATACATCAAGTACTAGTGATAGTGTTTAGTGAAATCAAATCACTTGTTTAAATTTCATAATGCCACCTAAAATACAGGGTAAAACAAAAACAAGTCAGGTGTGGAGGTTTTTTGAACAAATAGACTCAGAATACGCAAAATGCAATATGTGTAAAAGCAAGTTTTCATATAGGACAAGTACTACGAATCTTAATAAACATTTAAAAAGCAAACATCCTACTGTGCATCTTTTTGAGGATAAACCTAAGGTAAGATAAATTTAATGAATATATTATGGTACAATTAATTATAGTTTTATATTTTTATTTCAATAGATACCCACAGTAATGGAAACAGATACCATAACTACTTCCGGTGAGTTACAAGAACAACAATCTGATTTATCTAATTCACAACCATCTACTTCCAAGCAGCAAAAATTAAATATTGACAGCGAGTCAGTATTATCACCAAGAATGTTGCGGCAGGTAACAGTTGAAACATTTTTGCCCAGAAAAATTTCAGTCAGATCAAAAGAATTTATAGACCAGAAATTACTTAATTTGTTTATTAAAGACTTGCAGCCATTTAGCATTGTCGAAGACCCTGGGTTTAGAGAATTTATTGCTGCATTAAATCCGAGTTATCAGTTGCCTAGTAGAGACGTTGTGTCAAAAACGTTGTTACCAGCAATGTATGAAGAATGATTGACGAATACTAAAGAACTAATACAAACAGGGAAAACATTTTGTATCACAACAGATTCATGGTCATCAATAAATACAGTTAATTTTGTTGCTATTACTGCCCATTTTTTGGATGAAGATTTCGAGTTACATTCATTATTACTGGAATGCTCATCTTCTGATATTCGACACACATCAGAAAATTTAGCTGCAGAATTACAACGAGTGGTTACAAATTGGAACATTACAGATAAAATAATATTTGCTGTCAGCGACAATGCGAGGAATGTTCAGAAAGCAATTAATGATATTGGTTGGAAAAGCTTTGGTTTTATTGCACACACACTCAATTTAATCGTTAAAGATTCATTAGCAATCCAAGAAATAGGATCTTTAATAGAAAAAGTAAAAGTAATTGTTAGGCATTTCAGAAAAAGCAATATTGCTAATGGGAAGCTGAGGACATACCAGGAAAATTTAGGGAAAAGCCCTCTGAAACTTATAATGGAAGTTCCGACCAGGTGGAATTCCACATTTTATATGCTGCAAAGATTTATCGAATTAGAAGAAGCAGTAAAATCCACTGTAGCTATAATTGATACAGAATTTCCACCCATTACGGCCACAGAATGGAAGGTAATTAAAGAGTTGTGCCAAGTCCTAAAACCATTCGAAAATGCCTCAAAAACTTTAAGTGGCGAAAGGTATTGCACGGCTGCTCTGGTAATACCTATGTATAATGGTCTGACAAATGTGTTAGAAAAATTGTCGAGAAAAGAGTTTACTCAACCTGTTAAAAAAGTGATAAATTTACTATCATCAGGTTTGCAGGAAAGACCCGGAACGGTACGAAACAGCAACACATTTTGTCTAAGCACGTACTTGGATCCTCGATTTGAAAATATTGGTTTTTTTGATGATGTGATTGCAGAACGGATAAAGAAAAATGTAATTTCTTTGATGGCAGAAAAGATCAGTAAGAAGGGACAGATGCTTCAAGTGAATGTAGTAGAGCCGAGTGAAGATGATCAAGCAGATAAGGAGTTGTCAATTTGGGTAGATTATGACAAAAAAGTTGCGACCTCTCAACCTAAAGGAACATCGACCTCGCGAGCAATTATAGAGATGCAAAGATACATGGAAGAAAATATTACACCTCGACAAAGCGATACCCTACTTTGGTGGAAACAGCATAAGCAAATGTTACCTACTCTTTCCGAAATAGCCCAAGAAAGATTATGTGCCCTGGCATCATCAGTTCCATGCGAACGTTTATTTTCCAAGGCGGGGCAAATTTTAACTGAAAGGAGGAATCGTCTGTCCGATAAAAAGGTGCAAATGTTGCTATTTCTAAATGCTAATAAAAAATAAGCATTTATGAACATAGACTCAAATTTGCCATACGTTATTTCGTTATTTGATTTATCTATTTTATTTTTATTTTTTCACTGCAGTTATTGTTATATTCAAGTTTTAAGTTTATATTTTTTGCAATGACGTTAATAAAATATGTTAATATATTTATCAGTCATGTTTATTGTTTAGCAATGGTAGCATTTTTTCATATAGTAATAATTGATTGTAAAGTATAGACACATTTTAATAATGTTACAAACGCTATGTTCTCCCAAGGAACTTAAAGTACTTAAACTGTTATTAGTGCTATTGCTATTATAACATTACGAAAGTCGTGATTGAATCACAGTTTAGAATCACTGCTACTGAACAATCACAATCACGAATCACGACATGATTTCAAAATCACAATATCGCGCATCACTACTGCACGCCCATTGTCCTAGCTGAATACCAGTAAGTCACGTAATACGTAATTGTGTTCGCCATCTTGGATGAATTGTTTGACGCGACCTATCGCCGAAAACATTTATTATTCTTATGTTCTCCATTAGTATCTGTTTTCGCCCAGCTTTTTTGGAAATTGTTACAGTTTCAGCACACAGGTTTAGGAAAATAACAGATTCATCATTGCGAGGCGCTAGAAAATCAGGATAGACCTACGTTTGGAAGAATGCATATTCTTAGTGCATTGTGACTTGATTTTGAAGATGAGAGAAGGAAATAAAAAGATAATATTCGGAAATGTGTTGTGTAAATGATTCTCAAAAATTATTTAAGGACATTTTATTACTAATGTATCACATATGTTTCACATATCTGCGACACTTGTTCAAACAAATATAAGTATTAACAGTGAAAAATTAGTACATTATATGTATTTACAAAATCAAAAATACACGTTTTCTTGTCATAACACAAATATCACAACTTCTGTGTTTATACACGACCAGAATAATATACAACACATCTCTATAATAAAGCTAAGTGATGCAAAGTGGGGTATCTCTTGAAACTAACTCTAGTGCCTTCTTTTGTAGAAGCATTTGTCTTAGAGACGATGCTTCTTCCCTTAATGTGAGGACTTGAGCTCTAAGGATGGCGTTCTCGTGCTCTAATATCGTCGCTTTTAGGGCAATCTGGAAATAAATAGATAACGTCATTATTTCTCGTCAAATAAGTCTGGCCAAAATTATTTGGGTTCTACGAGGAAAAACCCGTGAACCATTCTGATTCTGCACTAACTTGTAGTTTAGAACGGTTCGGAGATCCATCCCTCTAAAGACCAGAAAAATAGATATTTGTTATAAGAACAAAATATATAATAATATAATCTATGTTATTCCTCAACTTCTCGAGGCCTTTACCTGATCCTCTCTTATTTTCCTTGCATCCCTTGACTTTTTAGCAGCCTGATTGTTTCGTCTCCGTCTTTCGAAATATTTGTCGTCCTTTTGTTCCTCAGGCACTGGTTTCTTTTCGCCTCTTTGTCGTCTCAAGTTTGATGATCCGTATAAGGGGTGACTTAGTGATGATTCAGATGTAGGACTACCTGAAAATTCAATGAATGTAACTTAGATAGGACGAAAAATGACGAAAGGAACATTTCGATTTACCAAAAATTGTCATTTATGGCGAAAGAGCTCCTAAATTATATAAACGCATTCACCATAATTAAGAATTGAATATGGTATTTAGTTTCATATTTTTTCAACGTTCCTAACTCAAGTGTTCGTGATTTTGTAAATCAAAATTAAATAAATATTTATATCAAAATTGACAGCTTGCTGCTTCACTCTTGCAGTGATCAATTCTGGTAATAGATGACCCATAAGTCAAGTCATCTTTAGTTGCCAGAGCGGTCCACAAGGCTATTACGTATCTTAAGTGACATTATGTCCGTTTTTTTGACATTATATAGATTTTTTTGTGACATTTTTCTACAAGAAGTCAACTTTGCACTAGCTGTTATACACTTGTTGTGTACTCGTTCCGTAGCTGTACGTGTTGCCTAATCGTCATGATGCTTCAGCTACCAATGTTTGGCTCTGATGTGACATATCATATGCTACAGAGATGGCGTTATGGGAGGTCCAGGCTGTGAGTTGTGTACTATAGCTGGAAGGAAACGGCAGTGCATAGGGGCATATTGAGGATTTGTGTGCTAATAACCTGTGTTGATGCTAATTCCATTGGTTTCTTGTTTCAAATACACTTACTTGAGATGTATGCAAAGTTGATAATTAGTTGCGCATCTCCTTTTTCTTATTCAACCTGGAAATTTCATTTGCAAATTTGCTGAATTAAAAAAAAGAGAGAGCGATAAGAAAAGAAAATCCCTCGGTCTTAGGTCTTATGTCAGTTCGTAAATCTGCCAGGTCTGGTAATCCAGAAGCCAGATAATGTTGAAGAAAAATAGGGAAGAAAACCAGATAAGGAAGAGATAGGCCAAAGAGAAAGAAGATAATCCTTTAGTACAATGGTTCAAAAATTGATTTTTGTAAGGGTTTTGTTGTAGAACTTGGATTGTTCTAACTTTACGAATTAATGTGTAGTCCACTGACTCGCGCAACAGATTGTTGCTGTGGAATTCCGCTTGGTTATAAAGCAGCTGCACGAGCTGCTTCATATTAGTCCTTTAGATAAGAGATATCAAGGCCTCTGTGAAAGGTCAGTGGAAGTGCTCAACGTCCTGATTTGCAGAACCTGCAGATTTCGCATCTTTGTTTTCTTATTAAAACACCAAGCTGCACAAATGTAAGTCATTGCAATATAACAACCTTATAGAGCCGAATCTTGTTGATCAAACTCAATTTTGAATGCTTACACAATAAAATTTCGTCAACACATACCTGTGTCAACAATGACACTGAGGCACTTAGCGGGGCTTTTTCATGGTAGCCCAACTCCATTTATTGAAACCTCAGACAACGCACTGTTGCGTCTTTGCGTACAATAGATTGCGTTTTCCGATAGTTGATTGTAATCAGCCACCGACCTTCTCTAATCCATTCTCCGCTTGTCGTGGTAGACCTGAGGATCCCAAAGAAATTTTGTTAATCCGATTTTTGAACTGCCCAAAGTTGAATAGCAAGATCGCATCTGGATGATTTTGTATAATGGTCTGCATGTGTATGAAGTACATATATATGTGCTGTGTAAGAAAATCATTCCTGAATATGCGGCCAGTAAAGTATATCTATTAGCTGTGCCCGACGGGTTATTTATATGTTGTTGTTTCTGAAGACAGAGGTTATCTTCAAAGTTATAAATTACGATTTTTTACGTTTTTTTTTTGCGTTTTCAGAAATTTTGTGCGCACCCGTGTGGTGTGTAATTTTGTTAGCATGTATATGACTTGTAATTCGACAGTGTACAGTGGATATAATTATTTCTCATCTCTCTCATTTTTGAAATCCAATAAATTTGCATATGTAATTTCCAGAATGGATAAGAAAAAGTGGATGGGCAAGTTTACCTAGCATTGAATCTCAAGTAAGTTTATTTGAGACATGAATCCAATGGAATTATCATCAACACATATTATTAGCACACAAATCCTCACTATGCACCTATACATTCCAGTTACCTCCAGTAATGCCTTCTCTGCCATCACATCACATCAGAACCAAACATTGATAACTGAGGCCTCATGACGTTTAGGCAACACGTACAACTACAAAACGAGTTCACAACGGGTCCATCAGCTAGTGCTAAGGGCCGTATCGTCAATCGTTCCTACAATTGTAGGACGCCTCTATGGCCTCCTTGATTTTCATTGTTTTCTGCTTTTCCGTGTCAGCGCTCTATTTTGAGGTTATGTCACAAATATCTATTTGCATCAAATTGTTCATGCTTTTGATTTATATAACATCTGTCTTATCAGCTTGACATTTCTTACAATTCAAAAAGGAAACATAACTTAACAATAGGAGAGCGCGGAATAGGTGAAATCTTGAAATTTCTGAAGGAGAGAAAAGACTATGAAAATCAAGGAGGCCATAAAGGAGTCCTACAATAATTATAGGTCCGACTGACGATACAGCACTAAGTTAACATCTTGTAGAAAAACCTGCATAATGCCACAAAAAAAACAACATAAAGTCAAAAAAATCGCCATAATGTCACTTTTCAAGATACGCAATACCCGTGCCGCACTGCTATTATGTAAAAAACCTATAAAACGTCAAAAAAAAACAACAAAATGTCATCTTGCAGACTAGAATTTTAGGGTGCAAATAGTTCATTCCACGTTTGCTCGCTATGATCGCTGTGAGCGGCCATCTATGGAGGAATGACTAACTACACGGATTGTTGGTTGCAGAAAGCCAGAATATGTTTTGTGAAGCCAAGTAGTCTGGAGTGCTTATCTCTGAGAAGATGTGAAAGAAAAAAAGTTGGTTGAGTAGCAAGATCGCATCTGGATGATAAATAATGTGTATTGGTCTGCATGTGTATAAAAGCAGTGTGTGATAAAATTATTACTGAATATGCTTCCAATGAAGTATATCCATTAGCTATTCAGAAAAAATAGAAATGAAGAATCACACTCCTAACATTTTCGAAGTGCCTCACATGTAGGCGTTGATTTGTATTTTCTGTTTTCTCACCTGTTACTTCACACTTTACCAACCAGGGATTTTCTTTTCTTATCTCTCTCATTTTTGAATTTCAGCAAATTTGCATATGTAATTTCCAGAGTGAATAAGAAAAAGTAGAACGGAATTATCATCAACAGATATTATTAGCACACAAATCCTCAATATGCACCAATGCACCGCCGTTTCCTTCCAGCTATGGTGTACAACTTACAGCTTAGACCTCCAATAATGCCATCTCTGAAGCAGATGTTACATCTCATCAGAGCCAAACATTGATAACCTAAGCATCATTAAGTTTAGGCACCACGTACAACTTCAAAACGAGTTCACAACAAGTGTCCATCAGCTAGTTCTAAGTTAACATCTTGTAGAAAAACCTACGTTATGTGAAAAAACCTACGTTATGTCAAAAAAACCTGTGTTATGTAAAAACACGACCTAATGTCACTTTTCAATACGTAATATCCGGGCGGATGGGCGCCAGAACGTCTTTTTTTCGTCAAGGTACAGTACTGTCTTTTGGAAGCATGAAAATCTACAAGACTGTTGCGTCCCATAGCAGGTCTGTTGTCAGAGAGGAAGTCGCTGGTAGTCTTCTTTTTTCCAGCTCTCCGGCAGAGATCGGCATGTCGCTCTGCATTCCTGAATATAGAGGGTTGTCATCAGCAAAGCAGTGGATTGGGTCGATCGTAAAGGAAATGAGGTCGTTGATATGTCAGAGGAACAGTCTCGGAGCCAAGACCGATTCCTGGAGAACACCCGCGTTGACGTTGTGAGATGAAGACGGATATCTCTTATTTCAACTTGTACAATGTTTTCCACTCGTTCTTTAATCGACTTCAGAGTCTAGTATAATCTATTCTCTAATCCTGGTTTTCAAAACAAGTTGGCTAAACATATTATGGTGATGAGCACCAACCAAGAAAGTTCAAAGTTCAATCTTACCTAGAGGTTCATCGGATCCTATTCTAGCTGGAGGATATCCTAAGACTGTTGATGCAGGAAAAAGCAGTTTATTGTGATATTGTGAAAATCCTTTACTTGTTTCTTCTGGTGGTAAATTCAACTGAAGGTCTGGGTGTCTAAGGTTCTTCAGGTGAGGATCTAGAAGAATAAACGGATATCAAGGTAGGTAAACTTAAAAAAACTTCTTATTCGAGCCGTTTAGTGTGTGATTGCTCATACTATTAGTAAACAAGCTCAAATTTTACTTTTATAGAAAAGTGATTAAATTTAAACATATCATCAACTTCCCAAAGAAAGGTCATCCTCTTCAGCCTCCCGTCCAATTTTTCAGCTGCGTAACGTTAGCAGGACTAGGAGAAGCCTCAGGTATGCTGTTCCGCACAATCTCGATATCCTATGGACAAGTTAGCAGTCATATTGGCCAGTTCTGCATGCATGTATACCCCTACTGAGCGGGGCCATGGCAAATGCTTGTTCTGGAAGTTGTTGTATCCAGTATACAACTTCTTCCCGTTCAAGTGATTATACACGTGTTAAGGAATACCTCAGTACATCGGGTGGCGGTACAAGTCCGCCAACGGGCCGCTTCAGGTCTATTCAATATCACCAACACGTAGAAAGAAGGTGGTAGACAAGGACCAGTTTACCGAGGCGGTACCACCCGCTAGCTTTTCACAGGGTATCTTATAAATGTCCGCATGTTTCCACACCTAAGCTATGTAGTCGGATATCGTCCAAAACAAAGAAATTAATGATGATAGATCTCTCGAGCACTAAAAACTCCGGACGTAAACGCACTCCACTCTCGGAATGTCCGGGTGGAGGGTGGGCTCGAGGGAACAACATCGAAGATAAAATTTGTTTTACAAACATCTGTGGGATTAACACCAACATTGATGCTGTTCATCACTACATGCAATCGAATCGTCCGCCATGGTTTTCTTGGCGGAAACAAAAATCTCAGAGTCTGCACCGATTAACCATCTACAAGGTGGACTCCAATCTGAGAAAGAACGGGGGAGTTGTGGCTTTTGTCCGCAGCAGTCTTTTCTGCTCCAGATATGTTTCTTTGGAATCAGAACGGAAGGACATTCTGTGGCTTCGCCTCAACTCCAAAACATCACCCAAATTTGCAAATTTATCGCTCTCCCTCGGACCATAGCTGGGATGACCTACTTGAATACCTCGCCGTCATGATAGACTTCCTGAACATCAATCACCCTGCTTCAGAGGTAGTTCTTCTCTGCGATTTCAATGCACATAATGAGCTTTGGTTGAGCTCAAACAAGACCGATGCAGCAGGTCGTGCAGTCGAAGCGTTC